CCTGCCTGAGCCCCTTGTTGGTTGGAGAAGGGGGGTTATACTGTGCTTTTGGGGTTTCTTTGGGATTAAATCAGATGATGGCATGTTGTGTTCAGGTGCCCGCAGGGGGCCTTGGGCTGCAGGAGCGAGGGGTGGGGTGGTATTAACTACCAAGCTGAGTCTGCATTTCCCTCTACTCCCACCCGGCCGCCAGCGGGTCCCGGGACCCTGAGGCTGTGGAGCCACCAGAGGTGGCTGTTTTTCTCCCCTCCCTTCCCTGCAGGTAAATCCCTCAAACGACCTCAGCCAGGCAGTGTGTGCTGCCCCGCCTTTGCCCCCTGTGTCCCCAGGCGATCATGTGTTAGTGACAGGACTGACTTTCTATATCCGGGGACCAAGAAGTGGGGACATTCAGATTTCTGCGTTTTAGAGAATCCAAGAGCAGAGCCCCAAGAGGCCCTAGAGTCACCCACCGGCATGGGGAGGCCCCTTGTCTCACGTGCCAGCTTCCTTTGCGTGGCCATGGCTGTCAGTGCTGGTGCAGAAGGGTCCTGAGGCCTCGCTGCAGGCTCTGTGGGAAGGAGCTGGGACTCGCTCCCCGTGTCTGTCACTCGTGAGATTAGGAAGCCGGGCCCTTGTCCAGTCCCGATGGAATCCAACCCCCACATTTTCACCATCGATGTACCCCACCCACCTTCCAGCATGTGTCACCACAGAGAGTTGTTTCTGTTTTAGGTGAGACTGTGAACTCTGCACCTGTCAGCGCAGCTCCCATCAGCCCAATGCCTGAGGCCATTGCCGCGGGGGAGGCTGGCCGGGGTGGCTGTCAGGGCTCCGGGAAGCAGGGAGTGAGGTTTCTGTGACTCAGCCCTTAGCTGGGCTTAGCTTGGGATTCCCCCTGGGGTTATGGGGTTGGGGGTAGACACGGGGTATCTGATGATTTTGACCCTCCCCCAGCTAATTGCTGGCTGGTGACTCTCTGTACAGAAATCCCCCTCGCTTCATACCCACCCCCACCTGCCCATCCCGCAGCTCTCACTCTGGAAACAACCACAAACTGTTTGTAATCGAACAGACACCACGTTCTCTTCCCTGTGGGCCTCGGCACAGGCTGTCCTCTGCGCCCGGACGCTCTCACCGGCCTCCCCCTGCATCTCTCCTCGCGCTCTCAGAAGCCTTAGGGGATGCTCCCTGCAAATCTTAGGGGATGCTTCCTGCAAATCGGATGTCCCTCCTCCAGGTTCCCATCCTGATCAACTTGCTGGGTTTGCCCGAATACCAAGAGATGTGCGCTCGCCTGTGGTCCCAGCCTCTCTGGTCCCGGTGGTCAGGTCGTGGATCCATCCTCTGTGCCCGGTGACGGACACACAGATTAACAAATGTGTCAGGTCCAGTCAGGGGAATCCTGCTGTTTAAAAAGATGAAAATTCTATCTTTGGGGACAAAATGATGGACCTTGAGGTGATTTTGTGAAAAGTGAAATAAACGCAAAAGCAAAAGGTGGTGACATGATGGTCTCCACTCATTTCTGGAGTGTAAAGCACCAGAGAAGACAAGCTGGCAGAACAACAAGAATAATCCTTAGGTTTTATGAAAAATACGCTGGTTTCCAGAGGGGTGGGTGCAGGAAGGCAGGCGCTCCTAGGCAGGTGGGAAGCTGTGCCCCAAAGTTCATAGTTCTAGCAACTGGTGGCAAATCAGTAACACTTGAGAAAAATTAATTCCTGGTGTCCTTGGGCTGAGCTCAGAGGACCCTGTTCTTAGCACGAAGAAGTTTCTGGGAGGACGTCATCGCTGGGGTTTCTTGCCAGCTGAACTGTGTCACCGAGCCAGCCTCGCTGGCAGGGGCCCCGCAGAGAGGCTTCGGATATGTTTTGAAACTATTCAAAACCCAGTCTGGTAGGTTTATGAAAATGGCTGTTCTTCTTACTCCTGACATCCCGAGAGAAACTGGGAATCAGCTTCCAGTGAGAAATGAGGAGCTGTTGCTTTTCTCTCTTTTGCACGGTTTCGTTAGAATCTTTGTAGGGATAAAAAATCATGAGCTGCATTTGCTATAGCAGGTGTCGTCATTCACCGAGCCCGGTGAGAGGGAGCGCAGCGCGGGTGCAGCGGGGTGAGGGGGGCCGCATTTCCCAGGGCCCTGTCGTCATCCGGCAGTTTCGTTTAAGGCATTTTTTCTCATGAAAAAGATTGTTTGGATCCCCACCCTATCACCCCCAAGGCCTCGCTCCCAGTCCCAAACCAGCCTAACAGTGCTCCGTGCTAGTGTTTTCTTGCTGACGGACGGACGGGTGCGTGGGGATGAACGGTGCGTGAGTGCCCGGTGCAGTTGTCCTGCGTGACCCCGCGTGATGCAGGGGCTGGGCAGCCGGGCCCTTTGCTCTTCCCAGAGCAGCCTCGGGGGCTTCTTGTGAGCAGGCTTCTGGGCTCTTCCTCGCTATCGGATCACCGGCGGATGCTTTTGCCACGACCGGCTCTTGTTCCCACTTGTAATTTGCTCTTTTCTTCTGCGGTGGGCAGGGAAAATGGACTGTGAGCGCCTAAATGATTCTAGAGTATGACATAATTGGGTCCTCGGGGGCCTCTCTCTGAACAGCGCACACAAAGGCTTTCTAGGTTCAACTGAATGAGGGTTGATCGACCGTGAGGGCTGATCTGAGGCCCTGAAACGCTGTCTTCCTGTGTCGCTCCGTGCTGGTGACAGCTCTGGGGCATGATCTGGGACAGGCGAAGCCTGCAGGGGGGTGGCAGCAGCGGGGAAGGGCCGATACCTGGCTGAGGGGACAGAGGCGCGCGGCCGAGTGGGCTGGCTGGGAGCTCTGTGCCTGGGAGAGCCAGGCAGGCTGCGGAGGCTCATAACAGTCAGGGGGCCCTGCCGTTCCAGGCAAAACCAAAATTAAGTGGCTGATCGATAGCAGCTCCGCACTATGGAGCAGCGAGTCACTGCGGTGATGTTGTTATGCCTGGATTGGGCCTCTGGGGCGCAGTTGAAGGCCTCTGTGGAGAAGGTCGTGGCCAGCCACGGATGATGACCTTCCCTCACTGGCAAAGAGAAGGGTCTCGCTGCGTCGATTGGTAGGAGCGGGGGCTCAGATGCTCCCCAAGGACCTCGTGATCCCGCCACCCACACATCCCACCCTCTTCAGACTGGGGGTGCCCCAGTTCTGACATTCAGCCGTTAGTGGCGTCTCCTCTCTGGAAAGGCCGTTTCTCAATGGAGAGGCGTTAGGACGAGGTGCCTGGTACCCAGCACACGCCCACACCCGGGGCCAGGGGTGAACCACAGCACCAGTCCTCGGACGCGACTTGGTATCTTATCCCGGGGCCGTCGGTGACACTTCGGGTCGTGCCAGCAGCGTGAGAGCGGGTGCTGGCGAGTGTTTCGAGAAAGCAGTGCTGCTCCCAGCACACCCTCCGCCCCCAGGCAGAGCACGAGGCGGGAATGCAGGCAACGTTGAATTTTTCACCTGAAAGTAACCCTGCGCGTCACCCAGGACGGCAGCTTCCATTTCATAGATGTGGACACCGCGGCTGAGAGGCGGGGGTGGGGTGGGGGGCCTTGTTGGCTCACCCGCTCCCGTGAGCTCGCAGACAGGCGTCCGGGTCTCTGCTTTTGTGGGACCCGCGCTGCGCCTTCTGCCTTCCGACCCCAATCAGGAGGGAGTGTGCGGCGTTGGGGGGATTGGCGGGGCAGGAAGGGCCCAGTCGGGACCCAGGGAGTCCAGCTCTGGTTAAGTGATTGAACTGATAAACAGGTGAAGACGCGTCCGGCTTCAGGCAGGACAGAGACTGTCTGCTTTTTTTGGCCCATCTGATTGGCAAAGCTAAGCACAAGTGGGAAGGCAGCGTTGGTCTGGGGTGAGAAAGTGGAGCTGGGACAGGCTGGTAGTGAGAGGGCATGGGGCTCATGGCTTCCTGCCCGGCGCTTTGGCGAGGGGGACACGCCCAAGACGAGTTCATCCTAGAGAAGTAAATAGGAGGTGCGGGAGGAATTCACCGCGAAGACGCTTTTTGTGGCACCATTTAGATTAAAATAGTAAGTGAGCTGCTCCGAGGGCACGGGCTGAATTCCAGTGCACCAAGTACGAATGGGCCCATCGAGAAGGATGTGCACATGTTGTCTGGGGTTTGCTTTCGAATAATCCAGCGGAATCAAGAAGATGTGGTCCATAGACAGCATGGACTATTACTCAGCAGTCAAAAAAGATAAACCCGTGCCATTTGCAGCAACATGGATGGCGCTGGAAGGGATCAGGCTCAGCAAAATAAGCCAGAAAGAAAAAGAAAAATACCAGATGGTCTCACTCATAGCAGGAATCTAGAAAACCTAAATAAGGGACCAGGAAAAAGACTAATTATAATAAAGTAGAAATCAACAAGCAACTATAAACTGGAGACACACTATGGAGTTGGGGGGGCGGATTGTAAGGGGACTATAGCCAAGATGAAAATGCATACATTGTGCAAAAATGAAAAATGATGTAAAAAATATATAAAATTAAAAAAAAAAAAGAAAAATCCAGCTGAACGGCGAAACTGAGAGTGGGGGGCAGGGGGCGTGGGGCGGGCCAGGCGTTGACAGCGTGGAGCTGAGTGGTGAGTAGGGGGCTTGGCGCCCCGTACCCCGCGTCTGTGTGAGGTTTCACATGCTGGAAAGAAGTTGGATACGGCCTCGTTTTCGAGTCGACAGTGATACTGATCATCTCCCATATTTTGCTTATCACACCCTAAAAAGAGGTGCCAACGTTGCAGTTCATTGACTGTCACGGAAGGTATTTCCGGTGCGTGTGAATGGAACACGGCCACAAATAGTTTTGTACAAAATTGTCACTTGGTTTAAAAAACAAATACGCCCGCATGGAGAAAACAGATGGAGCGCGAACACCTAAGCGGTGCTGCTGGGTAGAGAGTATTTTTTTTAGATTCTCTGATTTTCTCCCTTCCCAACAGCAGACATGAATCACAGTGAAGCTGCATTAACAGTTGAGCTTAATCCAGTGTGTTCTCTCTTGATTTAGGGAAGAGTATGGAGGAGATTAAGAAGGTGCTGCTGCTGGTGCTGGGCTGTGCGGTGCAGGTAGAGATGGGGGGGCCAGGTTTGGATCTGGGGGGATAGAACAGCCCCTCAGGTTGGGTAAGACGGGTGCTGCTCTCAGCCCCGCATGGCAGAAGGGCACTGCGCTCCCGGAGAGCGTGACCACCATCTAAGGTACCTTTCTGGTACCTGGGCACCTTGGGCACCAGGCTGGGAGGGGCGTTCTCTGAGGCCAAAGTACCATTAGCAAGTTGTCCCCAGTAGAGGGACATCTGGGGCAAAGATCCATGAGGTGCTCCCCCTGGGTCAAGTTTGACCAGTCACCTATTTTTTATTTTTGTAAATAAAGTTTTTTTGGAACATGATCTTTTTTTTTTTTCCCTCCATATTACCTGTGACTTTTCTGCGGAGCTGAGACCAAATGAACCCCCCAAATCTAAAATTTTTATTGTCTGCCCTTTATGGATGGAGTTTGTTCCATGCCCAGCCCCACCCTTCACCACCACCACCACCAGCCTGGCCTAAACCAGGTGTTCTCCATCCTCACCTGTTTTAGAATCACCTGGAGAGTGCGGTTAAGTGCACATTTCTGTCTTATTGCCTATGTTTGATGTAGCTGGTCTAAGCAGCTTCTAGAGAAACCTTAGTATAGGTCTGGTCGGAGGGCAAGGATTTTCTTGGTTATAAAGGAGACCAGCAGGGCTGGGGCAGGGTGGTCCACTCACTCAGCTGTGTTTGTGGCCCTGGTGGTCCATGGGTGCCCTCACTTGCAAAACTCCCCATTAACACTGTACCCCTCCGCAGTGTGAGAGGAAAGAGGAGTTTATTGAAAGAATCAAGCAGCTGGACATCGAGACCCAAGCAGGGATCGTGGCGCACATCCAGGAGGTAGGTGTGGGGCTCAGCTGTGGACACTGCTGCCTGGGAACCAGGCGACAGGCTTGCTCCACCCGGGAGAAGTTTGAAGAATACGTCACCCATTAACGATTTGCTAATTTTAGGTTGCAGACAAATTGATCCTATTTGGAAAGGTAGCCCTCAGCCAGCTAAAATAAAATTGGGGGGTGGGGGGTAAAAAAAAAATTAAAAAAAAAAAACCACCTCAATCAAGTCTTTTGCCTTCTCTTCTTGCCTAATATGGACTCAGACTATTTTTAAGAGCTGCCGAGTGGTTTAGGCTCAGAATTTGATTTACAAGCCTGAAAATGTATTCTGGCAAATGTCACTGGGCCTCGGTGGCTGATCTTTCTAGAGATTCTCTGCCTGTCAGGGACGGGGCAGAGAGCTAGCTGCCACCACTCAGGAGTCAAAACCCCAGGAGGGCCTTCTCTAGAAACCTGACCCCTGTGGTGGGGTCGGTGCGCTGAGGGCAGCCCCTCTGCCATGACCTTGGCAGAGGTGGCGTCAGCTGAGAAGGTGGTCTCCCTGGAAACCGAGTCTGTGGGGGCGACCCCCACCTGCATCCTCCCTCCAGAATAGCCGTGTGTGTTTTTATTAGCAGATATGCCTCACCCTCCCGTCTGATTGGACAGGTGAGATAAATGCATGATAAAGACACGCGCAGGGGAGTAGCAGCAGAGGCGGCTGAGCACCCAGACAGGCTGCTGCTGGGCTTGGTACCCTTGGGTGGGGTGGGGAGTCGTGAGCTGGGGTTGGAAGCAGGAGCGGAGGCAGACTGGAGGCGGCATCAGGGAGAAGGCAGGCATAGTAAATGTTCCCAGGAAGCGGGGTCAGACTGGCCACTTGTTAATTAGGCCCGGAGCTAGTCAAATTCAGTGTTGGGCTGTGGGGACTGGGCTCTGGAAGTAGTTCCCTGAAATATCCTGGTGCCCGGACCTCCCAGAAGACCCACTGACCCTCAGGGGAGGAACCTCTCACTGGAAGTTCCACCTGGAAACACCAGGTGGTCCTACGTGGCCTATGGGAATGAGATGCAGGCTTACCTGAGGCGTGCTTTACATTACAGAATGTTTCCCAAAAAATAACACAACTGTTTTATGTACCCAACATTTTGGCATAAGATTTTAACCTTTTGTCATGGTCACTTTAGATTTTATTATAAATAAGTCCTTGCTCTCCTGTCCACCACCGTCCTTACTTTTTTTCATGTTTTTTATAAAGATTTATTCATATAAGAACTGAGGTCTAGGCCAGAGGTGCAGGTGGTGAGAGGATTCACCAGAGACAGAGTGGGGAGCAGAACAGGCAGACTGACTGAAATCCACTGCTGAGGGGGGCAGCTCCCTGGCCGGGGATCAGACTCCTGCCACAGTGGCTGGCGATAGCTTGATAGCGCTGAGGCTTTAACCCCTGCACCACCGGGGAGTCCCTTTTTGTCATGTTTTAAATTGATCTTCCTTCAGTTAAAATACTGGAGGACAGTCTAGTCAGGGAAAAGCTTCTCAAAAGGAGCGCTCAGTGTCCTCGCTGAACCAGCGTTCAAACAGCAGAAGTGGTTGCTGTCACCTGCGCTGGAATGAAGACTTTGCACTTGGGACCCACAGAACATTTGTCCAAGAGGAGTTAACAGTGTCAATGCAATGAGTGAGCTTGGGGGGAGGGGCCTGCCCAGCCGTTCCAGGACATGCCCTTGTTCCTCCAGGTGACCCACAACCAGGAGAACGTGTTTGACCTGCAGTGGTTGGAGCTCCCGGATGTGGCCCCGGAGGAGCTGGAAGCCCTGTCGAGGAACATGGTGTTCCACCTCCGAAGGCTCATAGATGAGCGGGATGAGTGCACAGAGGTGCGTCTGCAGGCGCTCCACCTGCCTTCGGGGGCTGAGGGCAGGCTGGGGAGGGACCCTCATGACACAGACGGTTCTTCCTGTCTCCTCCCAAGCCCCTGTGTCCCCCCGATCCTCCCTGTCCGGCTGCAGGGGTGGGTGTGAGCCATTTTCCCTGGAGCAGATGCGCCAGCTGAGATGGGAGGAGACGTCCAACCGCGGGGCCAGCTTGGAGCCCTGTGCTGGTGCACATGCGCTCTCTGGTCTCAGGAAAGAGTCCGTTATATCCATTTTCCCTGCTTCCATCCAGGTCCTCCGTCTTCCTTGACATCTCTTTTCTTCTGCTCTCGTCTTTCATCCCCTTCCCCCCAAGTTCGGGTGCCAGCGCTCTGCTGGGCACAGGCGCGTCAGGTGAGACCCCGCCTGCTTCCCCTCTCTGTGCCTCTAGCTGATCGTGGACCTCACTCAGGAACGGGACTACCTGCAGGCGCAGCACCCGCCCAGCCCCCTCAAGTCCTCCAGCGCCGAGTCCACCCCTAGCCCCACCAGCAGTTTGTCCAGCGAGGACAAGCAGCACCTGGCCGTGGAGCTGGCGGACACCAAGGCCAGGCTGCGCCGCGTCAGGCAAGAGCTGTAAGTCTGCAGGGACTCTGGCTGCTGTTTCTGCCTTTCCTAGTGTGGGTCTCTCCACCGCAGCAAACAGGAGAGTCCCGGGTCAGGTGGGCTCCATGCTGGGCTCAGTCGCTGCCCGAGCTGGGTGACTGACCGGGAACCAGTCCCCGCTCCCCGGGCCAGTGTGTGTGCCCTGCGGGGCTCCTGCCGTGAGAAGCCACAGGTCGTCTGCACAAGCAGTGGGCCGGCCTCACGCTGGATGTCTTCCTGGCTGGCGGGAGGCTGTAGCCCCCCCATCGGGTGACCCTGCTCCCCGTTTCCTGCCGCTGGCACATGTCACTTTGCTGTCACCCGGAGCTGCCTGCCTCCACCTCCCCACCGCATCCTGGCCGTGAACTGGCGCGACTGTCTCCTCACCCTCGCGGGCAACCCGTGTCTGCTTGATGTAGTTCGAGGGCAGACGCTAGAAAGGGAGCAGAATTTTGAGTCAACCATTTTTGCAAGCCCCACATGCAGTATTTCTCTCCTTGCCCCCCCAGAGCCCCGCTCTCTACTTTCCCGTTGTGGTCTCAGTGTTGGGGCCCCCAGACGCTTGTTCTGGAAACCCTCTTACTGTGCTTCCTGCTAATCACCCCCCAGGGAGGAGAAGACAGAGCAGCTCGTGGACACCAGGCATGAGGTGGACCAGCTAGTGCTGGAGCTGCAGAAAGTCAAGCAGGAGGTGAGCTGGAAGGCATGTGGGCGTGGATGTGTGTGCGTGTGCCTATGTGTTGGGGGTGGCATGGCTGGAGACTCCCCAGTAACTGTGGCTTAGAGCTGTGGAATTGCAACATCGGGCGCTCCCAGCAAAGGCCTCTGTCTCCTCGGAGCCGAGCTGTCTGTGAGCCGGTTGTCCCAGAGCTGCATGGGGATGACTCTGTCTGAGTAGCACTGGGGGGCCCCATGGGATGCCTGCACAAGTGCCACTCAGGCCACCAGGCGTGGGATTTCCCAAGGGTGTCCTGGAAACTGCAGGGGCTTGGCCCTCCTTCCCTCCCCGGAGGGGAGCCCTAAGCTTGGTCCCCTGCTTTCACCGCCTCCCAGAACATCCAGCTGGGGGTGGACGCCAGGTCGGCCCGTGCCTACCGCGATGAGCTGGATTCCCTGCGGGAGAAGGCGAGCCGCGTGGAGAGGCTGGAGATGGAGCTGGTGCGCTGCAGGGAGAAGCTGCACGACGTGGACTTCTACAAGGCCCGCATGGAGGTGAGCGCTGAGGAGCGGGTGCTCCTCTGAGGTTCTGCTTTCTGTGTGGGCACGTTTGTTGTCAGCCCCCGTCCTGGAGTCTGCTCCCGCTCACAGGTACGTGAGGGGTCATGACCCACCTGGGGTCTTGGATGCTCTGACCACTCACCCCCGCGTCCCTGAGTCAGCAGCCAGGTCTGGGATTCTCTTCTGAGAATGTGGGCATTTGCCCCCCGGGGCCGGTCCTGGGGGCTGGAGGTAGTTGCAATGCATTGGGTGAGCTGAAGGCCGCATGTACCGAGCCAGCGTGTTTGATGGGAAGAATCACCAGCTCTCCTTGCTGCCAGCAGGCTGTCGAGGGGGCTGAATACAGATCTGGGGAGCACATGTTGCCCCCTTCCTGCGGGGGCCTCGTGCTGCTGGCGGTGAGCTGGGGTGAGGACAAAGACCTCGCCACACCCTCATGCCTGTGACAGGACCTGGACTGGGGGAGGCTGTGGCCTGGGGTCCTGTTTGTCCCTCCAGCCTCCCGGAGTGTTGGTGACAACACGATGGCTCCTACTGCTGCAGGGAAGGCGCCCTGGGTGCTGTGGGAAGCAGCCTGGTCAGGGCGGGGCCGGGGGTGGGGGATGACACTCAGCTCAGCGTTGTCCTGGAAATGGCCCCCAGCCTGCTACTCAGGAAAGGCGTAAGGCCCGGCGCTGGCGGGTGCTTGGGTGTGGGCGCCCGTGCTTTCCACCGCCAACTGGAAATGCCCCGGTTGGGAGGATTGTTACGGCCAGCTTTTCCCAGACCGCAGCCTCAGGGCCCTCCTGCACGTTGGGGACCTTTGCTGTTCCCGCCTGTCACCCCTCACCCTGTCCCGTACGGGCCTGGGCTTCAGCTCCGTGTTCATTCTTGGCCTTGTCTAAGCAGGCGGCGGGTGAGGCAGACAAGGTGACAGGCCCGTGAGCCAGGAGCAAGAGACACGACATGTTTCCTGCGCGCAGGAAGCTTCCCACCTCTTCGAGGGGTTTCCCACCGGGTCCCCCTCTTTTCCATATTCTCACACTCATGCCTCTGTATCGTGACCGCAGTATTGCCCGTACTGAGCAGTAATTTTCAGTTTTGCACTAATTTTATTCCTCACCAGAGAAAGGGTGTCTGCACGAGATGTTTACTCAGGGGAGGCTGCGACCCCTGTGGGTTTGCCGGAATTGTCGGCTGATGAATTGGGCCTGGCCCACGAGTCCAGGCCGAGACAGGCTGAGTGGGGCGCTTCCTGATGGCCAGGGTATCGGGGCTCACGCAGATCGCAGTGGGGAACCAGAGTGTTTGTGCCCTCACCCTTAGATAGGAACAGCTACGCCAGCCCTACAGGGACTTGGGTCGCCGCTGCCAGCTGTCTGAAGCCGGTCTGCGAGAGGTGTGGCTGTGCTTCAGAAGATTCTGGCGGCCATGTTGGTACCGGACTGGAAGGTGTGTCGGGAAGCCAGGAGGACCTCAGCCCCTCAGCCTGGCTGGGCCCACACGCCATCGGCCTGGCTGCCGGTCCCTGCTGCAGGGCCAGGAGCCACGGAGTCCTAAAGCGCCTACTGTGTGCCAGCCCTCATTGCGTGCAGCAGCCCTGCCGGGCAGAGGATGAGTCAGGAGGTAGAGTGAAGGTCATGGGTTTGCCCGGCCTCCCCTGCGGCCCCGGTCTGTCTGGTGAGCAAGGAGATCTCGCTTTGTTCTGCTGCATCCCCAGATCCTGCAGAGTAGGCGCCCCCAGGACAGGGGTTTGGTTTGCTTTGTTCACAGATAAATCCCCAGCCTGTAGAACAGGGCCTGGCCCAATACCTGGAGCTGTTGGGTAAACGCTTGTTGCAGAATCGGATCTGGGGTTTCCTTTGGGCCGCGTCACTGGGCTGGCCGCTGCTGTACCGAGCGGAGGCCCCGCTGTCTCAGATGCCTGCAGAGGCCGTGGCCAGGAGCACACGCCGCCTCCTCCCAGCTGCCCACCTGAGCACTCAGGGGTGTGATGCAGCTCAGAGACCTCAAGACAGGTCCTTTTGGGACGAGAGCCAGGCGGTTGGACCTGCAGACATTGAGATGGGAGGGCCTTGAGCCCAGGCCGGTCAGGCCCTCTGGCGCTGAAGGGGCTCCAGGTGTGGCAAGGGCGGCTCTCCTCCATGCACAGGTCACTTTGCATTTTTGTGTTTCACCAAATGCACACATTTTTGTGAAAAACAGATTTTCTGGGGTATGGCAATGCATGTTTCCAAGGGATTCACTGATTCCGGGACTATCCTGAAAATAAGTTTCTAAGCAAACGTGCCCAGTGCCACTCGGATAGGAGTACAGTTGAGGCTGGCCTCACGTGATATCACCTTAGGTTAAAAAAGATCCAAGTGTGGCACGTATGCATGCGAGAAGCAAAATAGAGGCTGGGTAGTGCGCCTCCCCGGGGGCCTACGGTGAGGTTTCAGTGCTATCACCGCTGCGTCCTGTGTTCGATCCCAGGCAGGTGACCATCCAGGGGATCCCTATGAACCAGGGAGACCTGTTTCCACCTGGGACTTTGAGTTTCTCAACAGCTTGTAGGGAGCTTAGATCAAATTCAGAACATAGAGGACACACCCGATGTGTGGTTGACGGTTCAGGCCTCCAGTCCTGGAGTCAGGGCTTCCGCGACGACCAAGGGACTGTGGGAGCCAGGGGTGTTCTCGAGAGTGCGGAGGGGTTTACCTGCCGAGTCGAATGGCCCAGAGTCTCCTTTCTGGGGGCACTGCTGGGCGCGACACCTTCGGAATCCTTGGACACCTTAGGAATCCTTGGACACCTTAGGAATCCTTGGACACCTTAGGAATCCTTGGACACCTTAGGAATCCCAAGCTCCAGGCAGGAACCATCTGTCTCTCTCCCCTTTTTTCACCCTGCCCCCTGCTGCAGGGTTTGGTACTTGCTGGGTCAGGGGACACCCCTGGAAGCGTTGCTGCTTGGTGGGTGCTGGACTAAAGTGCCCTCGAGGTGTGAAGTGGGTGATGATGGCAGCCGCCTGCTTCCAGGGCCTGAGGCACCACGCACAGAATCGGTCACGGGCCTTGAGCTTTGACTCATGAGATCCCACTCAGCCCTCGTTCCCTGCCCACTGTGGAAGGCAGAGGTCCGCGCCGGAGGGACCTGTGCTCGCGTCAGGTCTCGCTGCCTGGTCGCTGCTGCCCTGTGGCTGGGCGCATCAGCAGCAACAATTCTCGCACCTCGTGGGGCGCTGCTGCCAGGCCTGGGCTGGGACCGGTGAGCGTGGCCCCTCAGCTGTTCACCGGCTGCGTCGGGGCTTTAAATAGCCTCCCAGTTCAGCTGGGGTCGGGGCCTCGGTGTGGGGGCTGGGGGTGGGACAGGCTGGCTTGGCCGCTGCCAGAGGTGTGGACGCTGCTGCTCCCTTGGCTCCAGGAGCTTGGGCACGGCTTTGTGCCGATCTGGTTTCTCGCTTCTGAGTTCGCGGGGTGGGCCCACAAGCTGAGATCTTGCTCTTGCCTAATACGTGTTGGAGGGTGACACCACCAGAAAATTAAGATACGCTTGAATCGTTGTTGAAAGCTTCCTTATTGCCTGCTGTGTTCTACTCCTGGATACTCTGGTTCCCCCCGCCCGTCCGAAGTCTCCGAGTCCTTGGGGCTCGCTCTGCAGGCCGCCCCACAACCCCTGCTCATGGTGTGGTTCAGCCAGTGAGTGTTACTGAATCCTTAACCTGAAGCCCACGAGAGCATAAGTGGACAGTCCTGCTCCGAGAAGTTCACAGTCTGGGGGAACAGCACAGGCCAGCTCCCCACTGCCTCCCAGTGTGTCCAGGGCACACTCACAGCCCAAGTACCTGGTCTGTAGGCAGGCTGGAGTGGCTGTGCAGAGCCTCAGGGGGCAGCTCTGTTTTTTTTTTTTTTTTTTTTTTTAAGATTTTATTTTGCATAGAACGGGGGTACAGGCAAGAGGTGCCCGGGGTAAGAACATTCACCGGAGACAGAGCGGGGAACAGAACAGGCAGACTGACTGAAATCCACGGCTGAGGGGAGCAGCGGGGAGTCAGGAGAGGTCTGCTGCGCCATGTGGGTAGCTCCCTGGCCAGGGATTGAACTCAGGCCATTGCAGTGGACCTTTGTGGTGTTAGCCCTGAGACTTAATCCCTAGGCCACCAGGGAGGTCCTCCAGCTGGGTTCTGAAGGCTGAATAGGAGTTGGTTGTGAGGGACAGCCTGCACTGGGGGAGCTCAGGGCCTGGGGGGTCCTGGGAGTGCTGGGGGTGGAATGGCTGCAGTGCTGGCTGAGGGCAGTTGAGGGCAGCTCTAAAAGAGAGAGGGTCAGCGCCTCCCTGGTGGCACAGCGGGTTGAGTGCTGCGCTATGAAGCTGTCCCCAGCCTCTGCCGTGCGGGTTTGATTCCCGGCCGGCCGGGGAGATTCCCACATGGCAAGGCAGACCTCTGCTGTCTCGCCCGCTGCTCCCCTCAGCAGTGTACTTCGGTCCTTCTGCCTGTTCTGCTCCCCGCTCTGTCTCTGGTGAATCCTCTCACCCTCCCACACCTCTGGCCTGTACCCCAGCTCTTGTATAAATAAAAAATAAAAAATCTTAAAAATAAAAGAGAGAGGGTCGGGCTGTCTCGCTCCCATCAGTAAATAGTGATCTGGCCTCCCCCACAAAAGCCCCTCATGACGACTGAGGACTGTGGAGAAGACATGGGGTCTGGAGTTCGAGCACCTCGGTCACCACGGAGTGAGAAAGTCCATTTGGCCCAGCCTGCTGGGGTTGGTACTGACCAGTGGTGATGACACATCCCTGGACACAGCCTTGTCTCTAGTGTGAGGGGGGCTGGAAGTTTAGGCCCTGGCTTTTCCCCTCGTGGGCTTTAGGCTTCGGCTCCTTCCTTAACTTGCCCGAGGCAGCCCCTTCACCTGAGGGAAGAGGCTGTGAAGAGTGAGTGGGGCGGGGCCAGGCTCACCTGGGTCTCTTCTCTCCTGGGGACAGGCAGAGAGGGGCCCCCAGGCAAATCGGGACTCCCAGTGACCTGCTGTCGCTTTGATCAGAGCCGTGTCCACTGACTGGAAGTCACGTGGTTCCCCTACCAGGATCGTGGGGTTCTGGCTCGTGCGGGGAGCACGGCCACCTGCTGGATAAGCAGGAGCTGCTGGCCCTGCTCCCCGTTGTTAGACCCGTGAGGGGTAAACTCTGCCGACCAGGAGGAGCAAACACGTCCCCCGTGTGCACATTTGTAACCAGGGAAGTGTTCAGGGCAGACTTAGCCCCCCAGGCCCCTAAGATGCCGAGGGGGGCTGGAAGGACTCCAGGAGAAGAGCAACCACGAAGCTCCCCAGTGAGGGGCAGCAGTGATGAGGTGGGCGCTCCGATACCCCCTGGTGTGTGGGGTGGGCCGTATGCCTGCCCACCAGGGGTCCCCTCAGGGCGCACGGTTGTCTGTGACTCCACTGACTCCCCGAGAACTTCCCTTTCCGGGGCGTGGTACAAAGTGCTCAGACAGGAGCTGCGTTGAGTAGTCGCGCATGTCAGCACCCTCCGCCACGGTGTGGACGCTGCGTGGGGACAAATAGACTCAGCCCTTGAACCCCCCGGGGGCTCCCTGGGGCCCACGTGTCTGACCAGGCGCCCTCACACCACGGCCGGCCTGAAGGAGACACTGGGGGAGTGTTTCCTTGATTCATGATTTTTTCTTTTAGTAGAGAAAGTCCACTCTGCCCGGCCTGCTGGAGGAGGTGCCGGTCAGTGGCCGTGGCATTTCCCTGGACTCAGCCTTAGCTGGGGCGTTCGTCCTGCTCCGGATGCCTGGCCGGATCGGGCCTTGGGCTCGGTGCTCGTGAACCGGGGCCTTCATCCCAGGGTTCTCGTGTGTGTTTGCTGACCAGGAGCTGAGAGAAGATAATATCATCCTAATCGAAACGAAGGCCATGCTGGAGGAGCAGCTGACCGCGGCCCGGGCCCGGGGTGACAAAGTCCACGAGCTGGAGAAGGAGAACCTGCAGCTGAAATCGAAGCTTCACGACCTGGAATTGGTATTGCAAGCCGCTGTCTCCGCATTGCGACCGGTTGGGGAAAGTTTGGGGCTCATGCTGTGTCCTTCCACGAGGTTGCAGTGCTGGGTTGGGGGCTGCCACCGCAGCGAATGCTTGGCTATGGGGTGTACCCTGCTGAGCTCTGGGCTCGGCGGCACCACCTAACGCCTGTGAGCCAGAGCTCGGCCGCTGTGCTGTTCTCTTGGAGGGTGAGGCACACGCGTCCTGCAGGCAGGGGCTCCGCTGTTGTCGTGCTGTGGGCCCAGCAGGGATGCGTGTGCGAATCTCCCCACAGTGTCTAAGGTGTGCCAGGCCCGCCTGGGAGCCGTGAGGCTGCCCGTCACTTAGTCGTTGCTGGAAAGCAAGTGTCGCTTTGCTCAGACAGCAGATCAGAGACCGGAGGTCTTTGCGTCATCTCATGGCAGGCCAGGGCGTCTTTTTGCTCTCAGCTGGCGATGGATGTGCACAGCTGTGTTACGTGACATGAGCAGGTGCACGGAACCTCTTTGTCCGTGGGAGGCAAGCGTGGAGGGACAGAGGGTCCCCCCTCTTATCCTCACCCCTGCCCTCTTCGGGCACTAGGACCGGGACACAGACAAGAAGCGAATTGAGGAGCTGCTGGAGGAGAACATGGTCCTGGAGATCGCACAGAAGCAGAGCATGAACGAGTCGGCGCACCTGGGCTGGGAGCTGGAGCAGCTGTCCAAGAACGCAGACCTGTCTGACGGTAGGTGGCTGCCTCCTCCCCCAGGGAGCTGAGCCCTGGGCTCTGAACCCTCGGTGTCCGCCCATCCTGCCACCCCGGGAAGGAGGATTTCCTTCCAGGGTCGCTGGGACTGTTTGATCTTTATTCTCCCCATGGAGAGCAGGAGGGAGTGGCGGTCTCGATGTCAGGATGTGAAATGCAGAATCAGTGGCACCAGGTCTCTCCGTTGCCATCTGAACAGTCCCTGGGGCTTCCAGCTGACAGGCCAGAGCACATCTCGGGCCTCTCCGTGACTGACGGCAGCCGTGGCAGGTGGAGACGGCCCCTGCGGCCCCTCCTCCCGCTCGAGCGCCCCCAGTGCCCCAGTTCCCCTCTTTTGCATAATTGGACAAGATGGATGCCGCCGCTCGGTCTCCCTGGGTAGGGGCTGCTGAATCGCTGCTCTCAGGGGACCCGGGTGTCTTCCTCTCTGGGGCCCGTGCCCAGCCCCCAGACGAGGTGTCGGCCAGGGGAGAGGCTGCGGCAGCCGGCAGCTCTGGCAGGAAGCCTCCCCGCCGGCAAACAATAGCCAGTTCCTGCGCTGGAAATAGCACACGTGCACCTGTGAGGCGTCCCCTTCCCTGAGCCTGGCAGCGCCCGTGGGGCTGGGCTGCGTGCAGGGGGCACTTTCCAGCTCCCACGACTGTGCCGGGATAAGAGAAAGGTCTTTGGAAGCAGTTAAATACCCCTTCTCTCCCAGGGTCCTGCTGGCGCCCAACCTAAACTCAGCTGACCGAGCTCCCCGTCCCGTGGGAAGCCAGTGTGCTCTGTGCTCTGGCGCCTGGACCTGCTGGGATCGCTCAGGCCGCGGCTCTGGCGCGAGGGTCCACCGGGGAGCACGGCTGCCCCCTGGCGGGGCAGGGCAGGCCTGCGGGCTGCCCGGGAGGCTGGCGGCTGGGCGGGAAGCGTCCGCTGCTCAGTAGACTTGAGGAGCCCCTCCAGCTCAGTGGCCCCCCACTGGTGCTTGGTGGCGTGGCCACCTCCTCGTGCTTGCTGGGGAGCTGGTGAAGGTGGGTGTGAAATGATGGTGTTCGTGTGGGGAAAAGCCTGCCTGTGCTGTTGCACGTACTGGCTAGTGGCTTCTTGAGCCAGAAAGACCTGACTTTAAAATCCAGGCTCCTCGTCTGGCTAGGAGGTGAACTCATTTCTTTCTTCCCAGCGGTCACGGGAGTGATTGCCTTTGTTGAAAACAGCCATCTGTGTGGTGTAACACAGTGTCTGGTGAATGTGTGTTAAATCACCACCATTAACCCAGACCAGAAAACTGGACAACCATCCTGAGCTTCCAGAGGTCAGGGTGAATTAGCTGGGTACTGCGGCTGGGACTAAGTGACCTCTTTTCAACCCCAGTTTCTTACCTTCCAAATAGGGTGATGACGATGCCCGTGGGAGGGGCGGGGAAGTCCTTAGGGTCATGCCCATTTCCAGCTTGATGTGCTTGCTGTGAAAGCACCCCTAAACCCTGAGCCCCTGAGTGATGAGCAGGAAGCAGTGGGGTGCAGCCTCTAAGCAGTACTGTATGACGGGGCTCCCAGAGCAAGTTCGTGGCATGTGGAGCTGGTGTGGGTCAAAGCTGCCATGGCCCCGGCCTTCAGGGACTTACCATGTGCATTCCCCCGCCCCAGGCCTCATACCTGCCGGTGGCCAGGTGAGCTGAGCTCCATCCCCAGCGCAGGTCTGTGCTCCATTCTCTGTTTTATTCCAACTGTTTTCAGAGCAGACGATCTGCCTTCTATCTTTAGCTTGTATTTCCAGCTCGCTCAGAATTTTTTTTTAATTTTTTTTAAAGATTTATTTATACAAGAACTGGGGTACAGTCAGAGGCGAGCCAGGGTGAGAGAATTCACCAGAGACAGAGAAGGGAGCAGAACAGGCAGACAGACCGAAATACACTGCTGAGGGGAGCAGCGGGCGGCAGGAGAGGTCTGCCGCGCCATGTGGGTGTCTCCCTGGCCAGCCGGGAATCGAACCCGCACTGCAGAGACTATGGACAACAGGCCAGGGAGGCCCCTCACTTGGAATTTTTAAAGCCATTTACATACTATCTCATTTTGTAAATGTAGTAAAATTGCAAAGTGAAATCTCTCCTAAGCACCTTAGGGTGCCTATGGCAGGTACTCAGGTGTGCGCCCACCTAGCCACCTTCCATCATGCCTCTCCTGAGGAGCTGCGCAGTCTCCCTCTGCTCTCAGAACTGGCACAAAACATGGCCTGTTTGCTCCCTGTTCGTCTCTAAACCCCTTGAGCTGTACTGTCAGGTTGGCTGCTTGGGGAACAAATGGTGCCTGGAGTCGCACGCAGTCCTTAGCATCTGCCTTGGCTTCTCCACTGCAGACCGCTTTCTTCTTAAGCTTTGAGTTGTTCTTATATGAGACCCCAGCAGAGGGTCCCCAAGGCCTGCGGGACCCTCAATGCCAGGACAGCACCGTGGGAGATGGGATGGGGCAGCGGCCGGACGCAGAGGCGCCTGGGGCCTGGGCTCTGACCAGCCACTGTTCTTCAGCCTCCAGGAAGTCGTTTGTGTGCGAGCTGAACGAGTGCGCCTCCAGCCGCATCCTGAAGCTGGAGAAGGAGAACCAGAGCCTCCAGAGCACCATCCAGGGGCTGCGGGACGCGTCCCTGGCTCTGGAGGGGAGCAGCCTCAAGTGCGGGGAGCTAGAGAAGGAGAACCAGCAGCTCAGCAAGAAGGTAACCTGCGGGGCGCAGGCGGCGCGCCCTCCTGGCCCAGGTGCCACATACAAGCAAGGGGTGGCGGGAGCACTCAGGTGCGGGTGAGGGAGCACCCCAGAAGCATCACAGACCGCAGTGTAGTTGCAGGCCATCACTATAGAGGAGCAAGGGAGTCATCCGGGGGAGCCTTCTGCACTGGGGGTGCCTCTAGGGTGTCCAAATGGGGTTAACGAGGAAGCCAGTTGGTGTTGTCAGAGTTCTGAGTCCGTGTGCGTTAAGTGTCCGACTTCATGCGGAGAGAAGTGCATGTTAGAGGCATAAGGGGGGAGCCTGGGGAGTGGGAACAGTAGTGTGGGGCCATGAGTGTGGCCCTTGACAGCTGCTTTCGGGCTGGTGGTAAAACAGGAGTGGCCGGGCACTCCCTCGCGGCTCGCGGGTGTGGTGGGCGAGAGGTACGTGGCAGCGCCGGGCTGCCGGTGGAGGCAGCTGCGTGTCTCCCAGTGGCACAGTAGAACCCAGACGCCCGGGAGAACAGACAGGCTCACAGACCTGTCTTCGTGCTAGTTTCGGGGACCCCTGTTCACACAGGGGCTGTGCTCTCAGGCCAAGAGGTGCCATTGAGTTGCAGTTGCCGTGGTGCCCTTGCTGGCTGCAGGCTGGGGCACAGCGCCCCTGATACGCGTCGTCAGCAAGGCTGCCCACAGGCTCTCAGCCCTCGGCTGCCGCCCCAGCTGGGGCCGGGCAGCGCACTCTTGCGGGCTGGCACCGCGCAAGGCTGGAGCTTCGGGGGCCCGGGGGCCGGCCTGACCTGCTCGTGAGTCCTGCCAGTGTGGTTTGCTGTGGCCGCCCTGGTGGCGGGTTGACCTGGGATGCGGCAGGAAACCTGGCTCTGCTCTGACTCAGTGATACTGTCTCTGCGCCACCCCCTCCTGCGAAATGGTCTCGAGCCCCCGCAGGGAGGGCCCTCAGCGCGGTGACTCACTCTTGACGCCTTTGAAGCATTGTGGGCCTTGCAGCATTTCAGCTGCCACATGCTTTGTCCTTCCTTCGTGGGACAGGAGGGCACACCCCGTCCAGGCCGTCTTGTCAGAGTGGCGTGGGGAAAGCACGTTTGGTTGGTTCTGTCCGGGCTGCTCTGTGCACGCCAGCCAGCGCAGGAAGAGTCTGTGCGCATGGCCCTCCGGCCTCCGCCGAGATGAGACAGAATTGACCTTTAGAGAGACGAGACCCTCGGGCTGGCAGGCCCCTGCGGGTCTGCGGCAGAAAGCCTGTGATGTCATCGTGCTGATGGTGCGGGCCCGGCTCCCGCAGGCCTCAGAAGTGATGGCTCAGCCTCACCCCCGGCCAGTCTGCCCCCACCCCCCCCGCACACACAGGACAGTGGGTGCTGCCGACCTGAGTATCTCCTCTGACCCCTTCTCATAGGTCCCACCCTCCTGCTTCCTCTCTGCGCGGTTCCCTGTGGGACACCAGCCCACTCTTGCCGCAGCGCTTGGGAGGCCAGGGCTTGGTGGGAGGGGCGTCTCAGCTCCCAGACCAGCGCTGTCCTGTGTCCAGGGCCCGGAGCCAGGCCGGAGGCAGGAGGGCCTCTCCCCATCCTGCTTAGCCTGCCCCAGGCCTGGCTGCAGTCCGCCCTGGCCAGCAGGCCCCCCACAGAGCTGGGCCCGTCAGAGGTGCCTCCTGGCATTGGCCGGGTGAGCACCTCATCACCCAGCTCAGCTGTCTTGAGTTCCTTTCTCTGTCCTCAGCTCACCCGCTGTCCTCTCCTCCTCCCTTCGTGTCGTGTCAGCCACCGGCTGGCCTTTCTTAGTCACTAGGTGAACCCCAAGCCCTGCTGAACCCCACTCTGACCCAGACCCCAACACTGACTTTCCTTGGGGCAAGTCCAGGCGACATAGCCGTTTTGGGATGAGTTCTGGGAAGGAGGACAAGGGTCAGCCAGGACACGAGGCGGGTGGGGAGGCCCTGACAGCCTGTGCCAGCCTCACGCTAGCCTCATCCCAAGCCCGGTCCAGTCAGCGAGGTTGCTTAGCTCTGAAATCTCTGGAAACCGTAGTCGCCTGAAGCTAATGTCCTTCCCTCTAACTGGAGACCCTTCCATGGGCCTCATAGAAGCTGCCTCCCTCCCGAGCCTGTAACTTGGTGTCGATATTGTAAGAGCTCATCCCTTGAGCCGAGAAGTAAAGAGACATTATCTTCAGAAGAGGAGGAGCTTTGGGAGCTTTTGGGGGCCTGTCATGAGAACGAAGAGCAGCCTATGGGCAGGTTTCTGGCACCACCCGCTGAGCCCAGAGCTGCCCCCAGCCCAGCCCAGAGGGTCACCCCCAGGACACCAAGCTCCTTCAGGGATGAACCGAGTCCAGGGCTCCAACTCGGAGCCCCGGACAGTACAGGAACCACAAAAGGAGACAGGTGGGGGGTGGCATCCAGCATGGGTGGGACGTGGGGAAACCACATCCTCAGAACAGTCAGAACACAAAGGTTGGCACCACAGTCCTTCCTCCGGGAGAGACGGCACAAGAATAAAGTAGTAACAGGTTGGGGGTGAGCCTTGGCCCAGGAAACGGGTTGGCAGCCCATCGCAGGCCCTGACCTAGGCAAGGGGTCACCCGTCTAGGTGTCCCAGCTCTGCTTCACCCTCGCGGTAAGGACTTGGGATTTGTGTCTCACCAGCAGCGCAGGCATGGCCAGCACGGACGGGATCCTGGTGCCCCGCTGAGCGCTGGGCAGCGAGGCCGAGAAAAGGGAGGATGAGAAAGCTGCTCTTGCTTTTGAGAAAGACCCAGACACTTGGCACTTACAGTGCATTTTCCCATCAGGCCCTGTGTGGATGGGGCTCACCCCTCCTGGGGTCCCCGGGTCAGGTAGGGGGGCTGGCAGTGTGACTGAAGATCCAAGCCTGAGCCCTGCCCGGCCCAGCTCTCCCCACTGGTGGGGGAAGACGCTCGCCTGCTGCGTTTCCTGGAGGCTTGAGATAGGGCCCAGACCTGTGGGGCAGGACTGCATGGGGTACCCCCACCCCAGAAGTGGAGGTTGCCTGGAGAGGCGGTCCTCCCATCCTTCCAGGAGCTTTGTCACCCTGTCAGGCCCGACCAGCCGAATTTGAGCAGATGCCCCGTCCTGGGTGCAGGCCGGGATCCCTGGGAATCTCCAGGTCCTGCCCCTCCAAAGATTCAAAGTGGCAGCCTGACAGGATCTTGCAAAGCTTTGAGGACCATCTGATCAGTTGTCCTGAACCAGTAGCGCCCGGGTCACTTAGGACCAACCAAAATGCAGAGTCCTGGGCCGACTGGAAGTGGGGCTGGGGGAGCTGGGGGGAGGGAGATCACGCCCAGCAGGCAGGTCAGCTGAGACCATGCAGCTGCTGCCTGCTGCCTGTGCGTTGAGATTTCACCCTAACAACCCGAGATACCAGCCCCAGGGGTCACATCACTGGTAGGGAAGGACCAAACTCAGGCCTGTCCCTCTGACACCGCAGTCAGTGCCCCGTTCCCTGCACTGGCAGGAAGGGTCAGCAGAGGCCTTGCGGTGGGCCCTGCCCTCGCCCTCTGCCGCCAGAACCCGCGTTCCTGAGTTCCTGGTGTTGGCAGGATCAGGCATGAGAAGCCCCACACTAGGTGGGCTGTGCCTCAGGAAGCGCAGATGCTGGTGATTCCAGCAGAAGAGCCTTTGGTGGTGGGGGCAGGGAGGGCGGTCATCGGGCAGGTGTCCAGACGGGAGGCAGTGCGGGCTGGCCTGGGCAGGGAGTGGGGACGAGGGCGGGAGCAGCCTGGGTGGGGAGGTCAGGGCGTGGGGATGGGCTTACTTGGATGGTGAAGGAGTGTCAGGGGGCCATGCTGAGCAGCTGGGTGAATGGACCGTCAAGGAGGAGACGGTCAGGAGGTGGGTGAAGTCCCCGGGGGTGTCAAGCAGGGATGGCCGGTGCCACCCCCGTCCCACTCCCGCTCACCCCCTCACCCTGGGTCTGTGGTCTGACACTTAGGACAGCGGACGGGGCCGGAGATGGAGACTGAACCCTCCCGGGAGGCTTGAACTCCTGGCAGTATGTGGCGAGGAAAGGTGGGCTGGGAGGGAGGTGGACCAAAGGGTGCCCTTGACCTCCCTCCCTTTAATCCGTGGGCTGAGAATTGGTGGTCGAGGGTGTGGACGGTCACAGCAGAGCAATGCCAAGACATTTCTCCTTGAGAAAAGACCTGTTCAAGTTTCCTGTGGGACTGGCAGTGTTCTGATTGGTTAAAACGCCCCTCACTGGGTGAAACTGACTTACACGGGACTGGCCTTGGACTCTGCAGATTGAGAAGCTACAGAGCCAGCTGGAGAGAGAGAAGCAGAGCAACCAGGACTTGGAGACCCTCAGCGAGGAGCTGATCAGAGAGAAGGAGCAGCTGCAGGGGGACATGGAGACACTGAAGGCTGACCGAGCCAGGCAGGTAGGCGCCTGCAGCAGAGGCTTCTGGAACCTCTCCCGTGAGAGTCCGGGCCTGCAGCCATTCCTGGCGATGTATCTGAGGCACGTGGGTTACCACATCCCTCACTTAGCTGCCACTGACACTAGCCCTTCTCAGCAGGTGGGGCGGGCAGGGAGTGAGTGCAGTTTGCCTCCCAGAGACATTGGCATTTGTGATTGTCACAACCTGGGGGAGAAGGGCAAGGAGCGGTCCCGGCATGTGGTGGGTAGAGGCCAGGGGCGCTGCTGACCACCCTGCAAACCCCAGAACAGCCCCCACATGACAGAGTGATCCGAGTCCAGACACCTGTAGAGGCACGCGGGCCTCTGGCCACCCTCCAGACCACCTGGCTTTGCGGTGCGTGAAGTCCAGGATCAGTCCCTTGCTGCTCAGTGGCTCAGTGATGCCACCCAGGAGCCAGGCTTCTCGCTCCCTGCAGTGCCGGGCTCAGCGGGGGCTGCTGCACATTCCCTGGAAGGGCAGGAAGTAGGCGGCCAGCGAAGGGGTGGAGCGAAGCCTCCCTAGGATTTTGCCAACAAAATTTGCGAGCTTGGCCAGACTGGTCTTTGGCCAGACCCGCTGCATGACCACCCCCGGCTGCGAGGGAGGCCGATGTGTCCAGCATTTGAGTTTGTTGGCTTCTGTAGCGGACCTGGGATGGTGCTGGGTGTGGTGCAGAGACAGCCGTCCCCTGTGCCCATGTGGCTCGGAGTCTAGAAGCCAGTGACAGCCCTGACAGTGACTGTGTGTGTGGCGATTTCAGCTGTGAGCTTTAAGGGATTAAACATGGTGCCAGGGAGAGAATCCTGCTGGGCATGGGATGCTGTGGAGTTGAGGTGCGGGGCGTCCTTGAGGAGCTGACTCTCATGCAGAGCCCGGGAGGACGAGAAGCAGCCAGTGCTTCTTCTAGCAGGAAAGGGCTGGAGATAGCAAACGGGAGGGACGGGAAGGGAAGGTCACAGGTGGGCAGGTCCAGGTCGCAGGGGTCCTGCGGGCAGTCTTGGGGGGCGAGGTGGTCTCTCTACACCACCTGCTTGTCCATCATCCTGCTGCTCTGTGGATGTTTTGACTCGAGCAGTTTAAGGAGTGACTGCACGCCCTTCACTGAGTGTCCACGTGAAGCCTCTGGGCAATGCGGGCACAGCGTTAGGGTGCACAGCAGATGGTCTTTCAAGGCCTACGCTTTAGTCCCTGTTTGGATCCAAATTCCTGAAACGCGTGCCCTAATCCGTGTCATTCTGCGGTGTCTTCCTACAGATCAAGGACCTTGAGCAAGAAAAGGACCATCTCAACCAAACAGTGTGGTCCCTGCGGGAGAGGTCACACGTCAGCAGCGAGGCCCGCACCAAAGACATCGAGAAGGAGAACAAGGCCCTCCACCGGACGGTGACGGAGACCAGCAGCCAGCTCAGCAAGCTGGAATTCGAGAAGCAGCAGCTGCACAGGGACCTGGAACAGGTGAAGGAGAAGGTGGAGCGGGTGGAGGCGCTAGAGAAGGAGCGGCACCGGCTGGAGAAGGAGAACCACGAGCTGACCAGGAAGGTGGCCTCCCTGGCGACGGCCGCCGAGAAGGTGGACGCCCTGGAGTGCGAGAGCCAGGGCCTGGCGCTGGAGAACCGCAAGCTGCGCAAGTCCCTGGACACCCTCCAGAACGTGTCGGTGCAGCTCGAGGGCCTGGAGCGTGACAACAAGCAGCTGGACGCGGAGAACCTGGAGCTGCGCAGGACGGTGGAGGCCATGCGCTTCACCGGCGCCAAGATGGCGCAGATCGAGCGGGAGAACCAGGAGCTGGAGCGGGAGAAGGAGGAGCTGAGGAAGAACGTGGAGCTGCTGAAGGCGCTGAGCAAGAAGTCGGAGCGCCTGGAGCTCAGCTACCAGAGCGTGAGCGCCGAGAACCTCCGGCTGCAGCAGAGCCTGGAGAGCAGGGGCCAGAAGTCGCAGGCCCTGGAGCGAGAGCTCGGGGAGCTGGAGGCGGAAAACCAGGCCCTGCAGCGGGACCTGGAGGCCCTCCGGCTCTCCACCAAGCAGCTGGAGAGGTCGGAGAAGGACAAGAAGGCCCTGGAGCAGGAGGTGGCCCAGCTGGAGAAGGACAAGAAGCTGCTGGAGAAGGAGACCAGGCGGCTGTGGCAGCAGGTGGAGCTCAAGGACGCGGTCCTGGACGACAGCACGGCCAAGCTCTCGGCCGCCGAGAAGGAGAGCCGCGCCCTGGACAAGGAGCTGGCCCGCTGCAGGGACGCCGCCAGCAAGCTGAAGGAACTGGAGAAGGACAACAGGGACCTCACCAAGCAGGTCACCATGCACACGAGGACGCTGACGACCCTGAGGGAGGTGAGCCGGGGGCAGGCGGCCCCTGGAGGGGTTGGGGACCCGCGTGTCTGCGTGGACGCCGGATGCCGGAGTCGACTGGGGCTGGGTGAGCCTTAAGTGTCTTCCCTGGTGCTGAACAGAGTGACACCGAGAGGCACCGGGAACCCAGTGGGTGTCACCCCTTAGGGTCTTACCCAGAGGCAGCTGCTGCTGTCCTGGCTTATTCTATTTCATCACTTACCCGTGTGTGTGTCTGTGCAAACATGTGGTCCCCTGCTTTCTACCCTAACCCCGCTTTTTACTGATGATGCCTTTTGTTATTACAGTAGTTTTCAAAACTACAATTTCTTTTTTTTTTTTTTAAGATGTATTTATTTATGCAGACAAGAGCTGGGGTACAGGCCAGAGACGCAGGGGGTGGGAGGACTCACCAGAGACAGAGTGGGAAGCAGAACAGGCAGATTGACTGAAATCCACTGCTGAGGGGAGCAGCGGGGAGACAGGAGAGGTCTGCTGCTCCATGTGGGTTGCTCCCTGGCCAGGGATTGAACTCATGCTGCAGAGGCTGCGGACGGCTTCATAGTGTGGTGCTCAACCTCTTGCACCACCAGGGAGGCCCCAAAGCTACAATTTCTAATGACTGCCAAGTAGCAACACTATAAAGCGATGTGATTTTTTTTTTTTTTTTTTTTTTTTTTTTGACATTTGGGTGGTTCCAAGTTTTTTCCTGCCGTTTGAAGTAGCACTGGCCATCCTAGCACACACATGCTTTCATGAATAGCTGTTTTCTTAGGAGATAGTTCTAGGCATGGAATTCCTGGATGAAAGGATCTGGACATTTCCAAGTTTCTTGCTAAAGAGGTGTCCTCCGTTTTCCCTGGTGTCTTCCTGGGGTGCTGGCCACGCCTGGGCATGGAGTGGCTGCTCCAGGGAGCCCCTCGGGGTCTGAGTGGCCCCCCTTGGAGGCTGAGTCTCTCCTGTGTAGACTCGTGGAGGGGTGGGGGCTGGCACTGAGATTCAGGCTCCTGCTCCTCCTCATGGCTCGGCCGTCCCGTCCCGGGGTGGTCCTGCCCTGCCTGTGGCAGTAGATGAGGGAGCGGGAGAAGGATCACGCTTCATGGGACAGAACTCATCCCGCGGCTGCACCTTGCTGCAAGGGAGGCTGGGGAGCCCTGTGTGCCAGTGTAGAAAAGAAAAGCAGTTTGGGGGCACACAGGGTGGTCTCCGCTAAAAAGGAGCATGGCTCTGGGAGCAGGCAGTCTGCGCGCTGTGGGGCCGAGGGCAGATACGCCTGGCACACAGCCCCTTTCTCTGTCAGCAGTTCAGGCCTTGACCCACGAGAGCCAGGTGTCTGCCCGGGAGCCCGTCCTCTGCTGTGACTCAGTGGTCTCGGCTGCTGTGCCCTTAGGGCCGCCGCAGCAGGAGGTTGGTGGTTGCTGCGTTGGAGCCGTCTGAAGGGCACATGCCGGCCCTTCTAGCCTCCTCCATAGCCTGTTAGTCCCACCTGCTCACTTGGCTGGACAGTGGGGGCGGGGTGTACAGGTGGAATGTCAGTGAGCCCCGCTCTGCCCCAGCCTGTCTGGGCCTCGGGATTTGGAGGACAGGACACTCACACGTGCCCCAGCCTGGCGGGAACCAGCAGCTGCCTGCAGGGTCACCAAGAGGCGAGGAAGTTAGGGGACCCGTCTAAATGAGAGCGACACCCACCTGTGAAAAGTAAACCATAACTGGGGCAAAATCTTTCTCTTTTTACTTTTTTGAGCCTGTTCCAAATCCTCTGCAGTCAGCGTTTAATCACATGACTGCGGGGGAAAAGCAGCCTCGTTGGCAGAAATCAGACCCTCTCCTCTGAGGCCGGCGTGAGTGGCGCCGCGGGCACGGTCTGCATGTGTGTGGAGCGTGTTAGGGCATCGTGGACATGCAGCCGGCTGGGCTCTGGTCTCGGCCCGGGGGCCGGGAAAGCGTGTTCATCCATCCGTTGAGAAGCGCATCCTGGGTAGCCCCACCTGCTCCGTCCTAGAGCCCTGGGTCCGCCTGGACCAGGGGATCATCGCTCAGCCTGTGAAAGGGCCTGTGCCCGGCCCCCCCACGCCTCCCTGGACCCCCCTCCCATGCTTGTCCCCTCGCTATCCTTGCAGGACCTGGTGCTGGAGAAGCTGAAGAGCCAGCAGCTGTCCAGTGAGCTGGACAAACTGAGCCAGGAGCTGGAGAAGGCCGGCGTGCCCAAGGAGCTGCTGCTGCGGGATGACAACAGCGGTGACACGTGAGGGCACCCCCCACCCCACCCTGGTGTGGTCCCTGCCCCAGGACCCGTCCTTCGTGGTTCCTTCCCACCCCATGTCTTCCTGGAGGTTCTTAGGGAGCGCGGAAGGAGACTTCTGTTCAACAAACAGGCTTCTTAAGGCTATTTTAGTGCAATTTTTATTTCACGGCAGAACTGAGGGGACAGTAGATTCCACACAAACCCACATGCGCAGCCCCCTGCCCCGCTGCCAGCAGCCCCCAGCAAAGGGGTGTGCTTGTGAAGTCAGTGTACCCGGGATTCACTCTCGTGGTGAAGAGTCTGTGGGTTTGGCCAGATGCACAGTGCCACGTGTCCAGCGTGAGGCTTCACACAGAACAGTCACTGCCCTAGAATCCCCTGCATTCCGTGCAGTCACCCTCTTCACTCGCCACCCGGCCCCTTCGGTTTTTAAATTTTATTTATATATACAGGACTGGGGTGTAGGCGAGAGGTGTGGGGCATGAGAGGACTCCCCAGAGACAGAGCGGGGAGCAGAACAGGCAGATCCACTGAAACCCACTGCTGAGGGGAGCAGCAGGCGAGACAGGAGAGGCCTGCTGCGCCATGTGGGGAGCTCCCTGGCTGGGGATTGAACTCACCCCATAGTGGCTGGTAATAGCTTGATGGCACTGACTTTAACCACTGCGCCACCAGCGAGGCCCAATATAACCCTTTTTGGTGACGAGGCCACACAGACTTGGCACTGTCTGGCTCTGTGACCTTGGGCAAGCTGCTTAGCGGTCCTGAGACTTGGTTTCCCCATTTGTGAAAGGGGCATAATAACACCCCCCCTAGATGATGGCTGTAAACACGCAGAGTGGAAGGTGCCTCTGGGGTGTCTGCGTGTGGTCCAGGAAGGACTCCAGACGGGCAGGCTTTGGACCTGCAGGTCTGCTGAGCCAGATGCTACAGGGCAGTGGAGGAAACCGCTTCCTGGGGAGGAAGGTGCCCGCAGCCAGGTTTGGGCGCCTGTAGGGGTACATAATGCCCACATCTTTTTTTCCTCCCCCAGAAAATACAAGCTTTTGGAAGGCAGAAATGAATCAGCATTAAAAACAACACTAGCCATGAAAGAAGACAAGATTGCGTTTCTGGAAGCGCAGATGGAAGAGAGAACCAGCCTGAATCACCAGCTGCAGAACGAGCTCCAGGTGGTAAGGGCCGGCTCTTTAGGGCAAGTGGCGGGTCCCTCCAGGTGCACGCCCCACCCTTGGCAGCCCCTCACCAGGTAGCAGCGGGCGGGGCGCTTTCCTGAGCAGGCGCGGCTGGGCCCCTGGGCATCGAGGCGGCACAGATGTGGAGCGTGGATCAGTGCTGGGGCGGGGAGCGGGGCAGTGAGGGGGAGGTGGCTCAGAGCGGCACTGTGTTTGCAGCGACACCGGGGGGACCCCCACGTGAAGCTGGGGTCATCGGGCTCCAAGCCGGCCCAAAGTCTCACGGCCCCTCACACGGGACAGACACGGGCGCACAGGGCCTTGTGAGGACACGCACACGTGTGCTCTGGGCGCGCACATGTTCCAGACACACACACATGTGGACACAGGTCCCCACACCGGTGCTCTGCCTGGTCTCAGTCCTGGGCACAGCTCTTGGCTGCGTGACTGGATGAGGAACCCAGAGCAGCGTGGGCCTGGAGCCGGAAGGGGCTTTCTCATGTCCTGTGCTCCAGCTTCCAGGCTGGCTCCGTGTTATAGGTAGAGGAGGCCCAGGGGAGGGCGAGGACGTGCCATCACGTGGCAGGACTGGGTCCCCGGCCACTGCCCTTTGTCCTCTGGAAGAAGGGGGTGTCACGTAGGAGGGAGGTTACATGCATCCCCCCAAAAAAGGAAAGCAGTGTCTGCTCACGTGCCAGTGCCCGTGAGGGGTGGGTGAGCTGAGAGATGGGTTGGGTGGGGGCCGCCCTCTGGCCGCTGGTATGGGCAGGGATCCTGGTCTCCTGCCCCAAGTCTGCTTTTGTGTCCCGTACCGGCAGCTGCAGAAGGAGCGCGAGGCCTTCAGACAGAGCCAGGAAGAAGGGAAAACCCTGCAGAACTCCTTGAGTCATCCCGGGGCAGCGCTGGTGCCGGGCCCCCAGGGGACGGAGACCTGGGAGGCCAGCCACAAGGAAGCCACGATGGAGCTGCTGCGCTTCAAGGACCGGGCCATCGAGCTGGAACGGAACGTGAGTGGGCTGCGAACGTGGTCGCGCAGAGGGCGGCCCCCCAGGCTGGTCCTTGTCAGGTGCCATCATTGTGAAGCAGGCAGGGTGTCCATCTGTTGACATCCCTTTGGTGTATAACATTTCACCTGCTCCCATGGGACACCCTGCCCGCCCCACCTGGCCTCTCGCTTCACTGTACCCGCAGGAGTGGGTACTTGATGCTCTGTGCAGGGGTTGGCAGCAGGCCTGTCACCTGCTTTTGTAATTGAGTTTTTGGTTGTTTGTTGTTTGTTTGTTTTTTTTTAAGATTTATTTATGCATACAAGAATTGGGGTACAGCCCAGAGGTATGGGGTGTGAGAGGACTCACCAGAGACAGAACGGGGAGCAGAACAGGCAGATCTACTGAAATCCACTGCTGAGGGGAGCAGCGGGGAGACAGGAGAGGTCTCCTGTGCCATGAGGGTCACCTCCCTGTCCGGCAGGGGAATTGAACTTGTGCTGCAGTGGCTGGCAATGGCTTGACAGCTCTGCCTTTAACCCCTGCGCCACCAGGGAGGCCGTGTCATTGACTTTTATTGGAACACAGATGCCCTCAGTTTGCCTGTGATGTGGGGCTGCCTCCCGTCTGTGGTAGCGGAGGGATAGGCTGGCAAACCCCAAAACATTTACTCTCTGGCTCTCAACAGGAGGTTTCCCCTTCCTGATTATATTGGATTCTCCCAAACAACCTTAGAAGTAGTGGCGATTCCCGTCATTTGACAGAAGGGAAAACTAGTCAGAGTTTGAGGGACTTGGCCTGGCCCAGGTGTGGCCTCGCGCTCCGGCTTTCTCCGCCCCGCATGACATGAACTGTCTCCTCTTCCTGCCCACGCGGAGCAGGGGGAGGCTGTGGCCGCAGCTCACACATGCACCCTCAGGGCATCCGGCCGAAAAAAGCCGTAAAGCGGCAAGGACCCACGGCTGTAACTCCGCTCCGGGGCCAGGCATCACTGGGCTCCAACCGGCAGCGCCTTTGTGTGTATTCCCTCCTGTCTCACAAGCACATGCCCGGACCCCAGCTCTTCGCCCCAGTGCCGTTGAATTGTCTCCCCTAAAAAGGAAAATGTGACTTCTCCCACCTGGTGTGAACCCTGACATCGGCCCCCAAAGCATCCGCTCTGGAGGGTCCTGGAGCACCACAGCCAGTGTTTCCCGAGCCGGTACCTGATGGGCCTTGTGCTTCCGCCCCCAGAACGCCGCCCTGCAGACTGAGAAGCAACTGCTCAAGGAGCAGCTGCAGCACCTGGAGACCCAGAACGTGGCCTTCAGCACGCAGATCCTGACGCTGCAGAAGCAGAGCGCCTTCCTGCAGGAGCATACGGCCACGCTGCAGACCCAGACGGCCCAGCTGCAGGTGAGGGCGGGGCACCCCGACTCCCAGGAGGCGGCAGGGCCAAGCATGGCAGAGTGTGGGGCTTGGGTGGATGTTATGTTTAGCAGGTTTATTGCAAACACTGGTTCCTACCCTTCGGGTCTGAAGGTGCTTTAGATCCCTGAGCCTGCGGCTACTGGGCTGAAAATGTCGTGCTCTGCTCTTACCTGCTGTCTTGTCTGACTGCCGAAGTCAGTTGCTAGAGCTGTTCTTAGGAGCGACTTGGAAAAGATGCTCTGGCATCAAGTCAGTTTGGCTCAGTAGGAGTTGATTTATATTGATGATGCACAGGCTGTGGGAAAAGGAATTCCCATGAATGCAGTTTCTGAGACAAGTTTGACAATATTAACTTAGGAGCCAGAGACAATAAACAGGAAACGTTGACAAAGTGCTCAGGGTTTGTTCTTTCTTTTTTTTTTTTTTTTAAAGATTTATTTATTTGTGCATACAAGAGCTGGGGTACAGGCCAGAGATGCGCAGGGTGAGAGGACTCACCAGGGACAGAGTGGGGAACAGAGCAGGCAGCCTGACTGAAATCCACTGCTGAGGGGAGCAGCAGGGAGACAGGAGAGGTCTGCGCGCCATGTGGGTTGCTCCCTGGCTGGGGGGATCGAACTCGTGCTGCAGAGGCTGCGGATGGCTTCACAGTGCAGTGCTTCACCCCTTGCACCACCAGGGAGGCCTGGGGGTTTGTTCTTTTAAAATAAGAACATGGGATATTGCTTTGTATTTTTGTTGTAGAAACATCTCGGGTGCTAAGTCAGGGTAATGGCAGCCTCAGAATGACCCGGGGATTCCCTTCTCTCTGGGTTTCTGATCTGGAGTGCTACGTGGGTGTTCTGCACCTGTCGATGGGTTACGTTGTTTGGTGATGATTCAGGAATGCACTCTCCTTTCGGATTTTCTGTCTCTTTGTTTTAAAGAATAGGTTTTTAAAAATTGTTAACGCAGGTACCCAGGGAGCTTAATAATTTACACAAAAAGCAGACGTTGTGAGGCCTCAGGACCACAGCACCTTCTTATCAGGGTCTTTCGGGCTTGGCCCCTTCCCAGAGCAGTTCCTTACTCTGCCCAGCTAGGTTTTCCTGCCCAGGGGGGTCGCTGTTCCGTGGGGCCCGCCTCCGTCCTCGAGCGGGGCTCCCTGGCCTGCCACGGTGGTGAGGCGCCGTCGCCCGCTCTTCCTCCAGGTGGAAAACTCTACCCTGAGCTCCCAGAGCGCCTCGCTCACCGCACAGTACACGCTGCTGCAGAGCCAGCAGACTGCCAAGGAGACGGAGAACGAGAACCTGCAGAAGCAGCAGGAGCGGCTGGCGGCGGCCTACGAGGCCCTGCTTCAGGACCACGAGCACCTGGGCACGCTGCACGAGCGCCAGTCCACCGAGTACGAGGCCCTGATCCGCCAGCACGGCTGCCTGAAGACGCTGCATCGGAACCTGGAGCTAGAGCACAAGGAGCTGGGGGACAGGTGCGGCCAGGCGGGGCTCCCGTCCACCCCACGCCCCATTTTCTGGGCTGCTTCTGTTCTCTGGGGCCCCTGAACTTGCCCAAAGGGAAGTAAATCAGAGGTCACGCTCGGGGATTTGGAATTTGTGCAGCTGGAGACTGAGCGGCGGGAGGGCCCCCGAGGGGGAAGGGTGCCGGGGCGCACTGTCCCTGCCTCCGGGACACCTCGGCGTTTGGGCCTCACTTCCCTAAGGAGCCTCCCCGCCCCTTCACGCCAGGCCTAACGAGGGTGCTCCCCGCTCCCTGGCGCGTGCCGCGCTCTGGCTTCCCGGGCCTTGTCTGTCTGGGCCGGGTCTGGGCTGCTTGCTTTCCTTTTTCTGACCTTTGATTTGGGAACTGGAGTACAGAGACGGCAGACGGCTCGGGGAAGCCCGTGGCCCGGCGCGCAGGCTTCCGCTGCTGGTGCTCACGCCTCTGCCGGCCTCTCCCATCGCCCCTTCCCACCCTCCCCTCCACACTTGTTTTTAGTTTTTTAAGTAAAATTTGCATACATTGAAATGCACACATCCCACTTCGTGTCCTTGACAAATCGGGGTCCAGGGTGTCGTAGGCTTCGTGGTGTTCAGTCAGCCAGGCCTCGGGGGCTGGGCCCCAGCAGATCCCAGGTGGCTCCAGGCCAGACCCAGAGACTGGGCAGACGTGTGAAGTGCTTGGGGCGCTAGCGCAGGAGAGAGGTGCACAGAGTGTGTCTAAGGAGAGGCTCCCGACCACGCGGGGCGCCGAGGAGGAAGTCCCTGCTGACACCGTCCCCTTTCTCCGCGTCAGCGAGGAGGACGGGCCACTATAGCGGGGACCTGGCGGGAACATGGAGACATGCCAGGGTGGAGGGGACCCCAGAGGCAGCTCTCCCCGCTGCCAGGCTCCTGTCCCATGCTGTCCTGCCTCTCCCTGCCCCTTTGCCCTGTCCTGCTCAGCTCTGCAGCGGGCACCAGGGAACCCCGTTCTCTCTGGGAGGCTTCTCGGTCTTCCGGTGTTACGTGTGGGCACCATGGGCCCGTGGCAAGCTCCCAGCAGGTGTGTTCCCCTCTGCCAGGCACGAAGCCATGCTGAAGCACAAGGCAGAGCTGGACGAGCTAGAGAAGGCCCTGCACTCCGAGCGGGAAGCGCTGCAGCAAGAGCAGAGGAGCAGCGCCGTGGCCGCGGGCGAGAACCAGAGGCTGCGGGGTGAGCTGGACAGGTGAGCCTGCGGCGGGCCCAGAGGCGGCCCCGTGGGTCCCGGTAACCGGAGCTCTCACAAGCCCTGCCGTGCTGGCCGCTGGCTGTGATCAGGGCGAAGGGGACTCATGGGTTGCTGGGGTGGGCGGATGCAGGTGACAGCTCCCCTGGTTCCCCCTGTGTGACACCCTTGTGTCCGGTGCAAGCACACCTATAACCCGCGCCGCAGAACCATCTCATAAGGGAGATGCACCCCATCCTCATCATTTCTGGACCCCTATCTGTGGATTCCCCTACATGCTGAAATTGATTTGTAACCCTAGATCAATACTCGTGACATTCTCGTGGTCATGGGTGATGGATGCTTCGGTCTCCCGGGCACATCTCCAGCTGATGCTGAATATTATTCTGTGGTATCGTCAAGCTGTGATCAGTCAACTTAAAAAAAAAAAAAAAAGCTACAGTCACGATGACAAAGAAAAAGGCCTGAGGCCCAGAGAAGGGGGTTTGGTCCAAGGTTGCCCAGCTGGGTGCCCTCTTCAGCCCTCTGCCCTGGGCTCTCCACCCGCAGGGTCACCTTCCTGCACCACCAGCTGAAGGGGGAGTATGAGGAGCTGCATGCCCACAACAAGGAGCTGAAGACCTCGCTGAACAACGCACAGCTGGAGCTGAACCGCTGGCAGGCCCGCTTTGACGACCTGAAGGAGCAGCACCAGACCATGGACATCTCGCTGACCAAGCTGGACAACCACTGTGAGGTGAAGCCTCGGGACACCAGCGAGTCCCCTGGGCTGACAGCCTTGGGCTCAGCAGGGTTATGACGGGTCTTCATGAGCATCTGCCTGGGAGGCTGTGTGGGAAGGTGGTGCGGAGGCACCTGGAAGGGGCACAGCCCACGATCGGTGGGGATGTCTTAGAAAATACCTTTGCTTTCTCAGGCAGTGGGGAGGGGCTGGGTACCGTTTTATTTCGGTCCTCTGGACTGTCTTTCCATCTCTTCTAGAGGAATGGTATCAATTTGCCCCTGTTCTTGGGTTTGTCTGACTGGGGCTCCAGATCCTGGGGCTCTGGGGATGGGCTTAGTCGGGAATCCCCCAGTTCCCAGATGGGCAGAGCCATCCCTGCCATTTAAATGATCTTAAATGGCCAAACCTCAGATGAAATTGTAAACAGATCCCAGAGCAAGTACAGTGGGCAGAGGAGCCCAGCCAGGCCCCACCCCAGCACCCCAGCCTCAAGACCCAGGAAAGCGGGCACCCCTGGGACATAGCCCCTTGGCTTCTGTGTGCCAGTTAACTGCCTTGCAGGGCATCACGGTTGAGGAAACGGGCTCAGGATGCCGCTGAGCTGCTTGAAGACCCCTCTGGGCTGTGGAGGGGGACTGAGACCCAGGCAGAGTAGAAGCCTGGCCCCCACGGCCTGCCCTGTGTGGGAGGAGACTTCAGGCCGACCCTGCAGTGTGGGTTGGAACCCAGATTGTGTGAAGCCAGAGTTGGTGATTTTTCTGGTGCACCAGCCGTGACAGTGAGAGCAGGCGCTGGCAACCTCAGCCCCTCATATCAGATCTGCCCACTCCCTGTTTCTGTGCAGCTGTAAACTTTATATGAATGGCTTTTACACTTTTTTAAAAGATTTATTTATTTATACAAGACCTGGGGTACAGACCAGATGTGCAGGAGGGTGAGAGGATTCACCAGAGACAGAGCGGGGAGCAGAACAGGCAGACTGACGAAATACACTGCTGAGTGGAGCAGCGGGTGAGGCAGGAGAGGTCTGCCGCACCATGTGGGTATCTCCCTGGCCAGCCGGGAATTGAACCAGCACTGCAGAGGCTGTGGACAGCTTCATAGCGTGGCACTCAACCCGCTGCGCCACCAGGGAGGCCTGCTTTTACACTTTCTAATGGTTGGGGGAAATCAAAAGAATTTGTGGCAAGTGAAAATAATAGGAAATTTACCCTTTGGTAAGTAACAGCTTATAGAAATGCAGCCATACCTGGGCGTATGTCTATCACCTGTGCATTTGCGTATCACCTGTGGCTGCTTTCCTGCTGCACCTGCAGGCATGAGCAGTTACAGCAGAGATGGTCTGGCTTGGGAAGCCTGACATGTTCACTCTCTGGCTCTTTCCAAAAGGTGTGCCCGCCCCTTCTAGAGGAGATCTGTCCAATAGAAGCTGGATGCCAGCCCTGCAGTAACTCCAATTTTCCCAGGAGTCCCATTAAAGAGGCCTCTTACGTGGCCAGGGGCTGGGGGACTGACACGTGGTCATAGAGGGAACTTGGTCCTTCCATGTCATTGACCCGATGGTCCCTCCAAGCTTTCACTCGCACAGATTATCCTGAGATGAATGTCTGTGCCCGAAGCCTGGCCCTTCTCTTGGAAACTAGGTTCCCAGCAGGGGACTCCTGGGGCCTGAGCCCTTGTTGACCTGTGTTTTAGCTGCTCTCCCGCCTCAAGGGGAATTTGGAGGAAGAAAACCATCACCTCCTGAGCCAGATCCAGCTGTTGAGCCAGCAGAACCAGATGCTTCTGGAGCAGAACATGGAGAACAAGGAGCAGTACCATGAGGAGCAGAAGCAGTACATGTAAGGGCGCCTGTTCCTCCACCATGGTGGGGGATGCTGCCCACAAAGGGGTCCCGGCTTCCCCTGCCGCCCACCACGACCTGTGGCGTTCTGGGTGGAGAACAGCGTGGACCGCCGGTGTCCTGAGGGCCGTGTCTTTGTTCCAGCACCTGCTTCTCTGGCTGCCGGGGGGGGGGGGGGGGCTGTAGGTTTCTGCAGGCAGTGATGGTTGCCATGAGTTTGCTTTACAAAGGCACGCCCACCGCCCAGAGCTGCTTAATCTGCTTTTGGATTTACATCCACTCCTAAAGGTGGGCAGGTGCTGTTGGAGCATCTCAGGGGAAGAACTGAACCTGAAGACCGAGCAGGGGTGCCCTGTCTCATGTTCCCGAGACTGCCTGGCTCCTGGGATGCTGCGCTTGTCCTCCCTTGGGCGGTGTCTCATGTGCCGGCTCTGGCCTAGGCCCCTCGGGGTGCACAGACCAGTCTCAATAGCTGGGGCCTGTCGGAGGCAGGAGGGTGAGCAGAGCTATGTCCACACGAGACAGATGTTGAGCAGCACGGAGGTGGGGGAGGCAGGAGGGGTGTGACACAGGACAGGGAGAAGGCCAGCCCGGGCGGGGGCGTGCAGGTGGAGGGCAGCCGTGTCTACGTGCAGGGCACAGGCAGGGCAGTCAGGAGCAATGGCCGGAGAAGGAAGCGGGGCTCGGCGGTGCAGGCTTCCGTGCCCAGCTAGCGAGTTTGGATTCCCTGGGAAGTGTTTGATGGGTGGTGACCTAGCAGGGCCTAGAAAACAGCCAGAAATAGAGGTCAAGAGCCCTGGTGCTAGAAGCCTCAAGGTTCCGAGGTGGAGTAATCCAAGATGCTTTGTGCATCCGGGTGTTTTCACTCCTCCATGTGGTGGGGAGCGGGGGCTGCCCTTCCCCGTGATAGGGATGGTGGCCATGTGGGGGCCAGCAGAGGCACTCTCCACGGGGCGGGGTGCCAGCAAGCCCCCACATGCCATCCCAGCCCCTTGTAGAGATGCACCTTCATTCACTGCTGCAGCCTCCTCTGTTCATCTTCAGGCACCCGTCACCTGCTAAAGGATGGGGTCCATTGAAAACCATTGCCCTTTGGGGTAGAAATGAGCATTGCCTGAAGTTGACCCTTTATAACGCAGCTAGTGAAAGTTCGCAGCAGGTGCTAACTTGAGGGGCCCGAGCCCAGGACCCAGGGGATGATCTCTTGATGGGCTTGCATTAGAAGGTGTCTGCAGAGACCCCGGAGCAGCCTCCAAGGGGAGCTGCCCCTGGGGGCGCGCGGGGCTGCTGCATCTGTGGGGCTAACCCCAGCCATGTCGGTGCTCAAAGCACAAGGCCAAGCTGCAGGCTGAGGACAGCGTAATGACTAGACCTAGAGCCCAGGGCACGGTGGGTGGCCAGCGGCCAGTGCGTGGTGAAGCCTTCACGTTGCTTGAGGTGCTCCCTTTATGGTGAAACCTTGGAACAGCCCTCAGTTTGGGGGTGACTTTGGCAGCTTCACCATGAAGGAGACTGAGAAGTTACCTCTGGTCCAGGGGTGTCCTTTTCAAAGAGGAAACCAGGGGTCCAAACAGTGACAAACACAGAGGTGACAGGAGCAGGCCAGCAGCGGTGAGCCTGGGGGCAGTGAGGTGTGGGGTGCATCACTGCCGCCCTCGGTGCCGAGATAAAAGCACACCCCCCTTTTAGGAAGACCATGGTCTTGTCCCCTAAGGCTGGCAGGGTTGAGAGGTTCTCTTTGATCCTTCCTATATATTTGAAATGATGAGCTGGTTTCCAGCATTTCAGAATCAGCAGATTTCGTTTCATAAACTGGGTTTTTGGATCCTTAGAAAACCAACGGGGAAGATCCCCCCACGGGGCCTGCGTTCATTCCCGCACAGCAGTGCGCTCCAACCTTGCCGCAGTCCCCACCACTCCCTCTGGTCTTTCTAGGCTGGCTTTGCTGCTTATCAAAAGCTTCCTGAACGCTTTTGAGTTTGTCCCTACAGAGGGGTTAACCAGAAACCTGGCATTGCAGCGGGTGTAGGTCACTAGTCTGACTTAGCTGAGCTGACTTTTTCCACCCTGACGTCCATGTAACTCCTTGAGGCAGACTTTTTCCCCTCTGCAGAGGTGAGCACCCCCAGGAGCTAGCCTTGTGTCTGACCCCATGTGCCCACTGTTCTGGCTGACCTGGCCGGAAAGTCCTTGGGGTTTCTGAGCTTGAACTCCAGGAGGTTAGCGGTTGCTCCCTGGGGTGCACTTACAGCCAGATGCTAGGGGCTCTGGCAAGTCTTCCCAGGCCTTTGGGCTTCCAGGACCTGCTTGGAATGACTCGTTATCACGTTCCCAGGGCAGCCATCATGATGTCTGAGTCCCAGACACACACTGGACGCCCTGGGGCAGGTCCCAGGCTGGAGCTATGAGTCAGTCCTTGTTTTATTGAAAACGGGATGGATAATTTTTCTCTGCCCCTCTATTCACAGAGACAAATTAAACGCTTTGCGAAGACACAAGGAAAAACTGGAAGAAAAAATCATGGATCAGTACAAGTTCTATGATCCTGCTCCAAAGAAGTGAGTTGAATAACATTGTCATGACTTAACGCCGCCCTGGAAGCTGTCCTCTTTCCTGAGGGAGCAGAAGCTGGCTGCCTGGAGCAGGCCCGTGTGGGGGGCTGGGGATTCCCATGGGGTGGGGGCCTCTAGGGGCAGGGTTTTGACTTGCTCTCAGCCCTACCCTCTGCTCCGGCTCCTCTGTGAGGGAGGTAGATACTGGCTGGCCTGGAGTATCACAGACGTGATTTAGCCACAAGCCCTATGGGGGCCAGAGGCGCCCTGAACACAGCACGGGAGGGTGGTCTTGTCAGAGTTCATCTGGGATTGAACAGGTCAGAGAAGGCCACGGTGTGCTTGTGTGGGGCTGGGTAGGACCCCTGGGCCAGCCGCTCGAGGTCTTCCAACCCAGGAGCCTTTTGACCTGACACGGTCTCCTCCGGCTTCTCCAACCGCGGGCAGCTCCCCAGACACACTGCCAGGTGTGGGCTGGCTCGCCCCAAGGAGCTGGCCCTTGGCGCGTCCTGTGCCTCCAACGGGAGGCAGGTCCCCATCCCTGCTTAGGCCTCTGTTGAAATCCCAGAACCACAGAATTGCAGAACCTCTGTCTAAATCGCCCACCAGGCAGAGGCCAAGGCCCAGGTGAGGAAGGGGAGCGGCTGGAGTAAACGCCGTGCTGTCAGCGCCACGCGGGCTCAGAGGGCCGTGCAGCCCTCCTCCTGCTCCCCTGGATTCCTGCCGCGAGCTGCCGCTCAGTCGCTCCTTAAATTCGCTGGTGTTGGCTCTGACGGCTGCTCTTCCCCTGCGCCCACTCCTCAGTGCCAGGCGTCGTCAGAGGATGTCAGTGTAGCTGACAATGAGTGGGGGTGGGGGGTGGCTCCACTCATGCATTTGGGCAGAAAGATTGTCCCGGAGCCGGCCGAGAGCAGCGCGGCGCCACTCCGTCCGTCCCACAGCCCGTCCAGAGCCCGAGGCCCGGCTCCCGGCACTGTGTTCCGGGCGGCTGTTGAAGGCCTCTGCCCTAAGGCATACTCCCTCATGCCCCCCAGAATCACATCCCACCCTCCGAGCCTCGGACGCCGTGTCCCTGGTGGTAGGGAGGCCGTCCTTCTGAGCCCCGAATGAATGGACAGCGCTGCCGGCTGCGATGGGAATCCCGGCCCCATGAGGGAACCAGCCCCTGCCGCAGGGCAGTGGGCCTACTTGGGGTCTTCTCAAATTCCTCTTCTAACCAGGAAAAACCACTGGATTGGAGCCAAAGCCTTAGTCAAACTCATCAAACCAAAGAAAGAGGGTTCCAGAGAACGTTTGAAGGCAACCACAGACAGCCCTCCCTCGCAGCCGGAGGCCCCAGACCCGGCCTCCCCACCTGCTCAGCCTCTCCGCTCTCAGCCAGAGAACCCCGAGACCTCATCTTGCCCAAACGGCACAGAAGAGCAGGACACCCACAACGGGCCTGTGGGGAAAGGTAGGTGAGGCCGACCGCCCGTGTGGGGTCAGGCAGGGTTGAGGTGGTCTCAAGGACTCCCCTGGGGGCAGAGCCAGAGGGGAGGAGGTGCACACGCAAGGGCAGGTGTGTCGGGGGGAGTGCAGGTCACCCGCACGGCTGCCTCCTTGGGCTCATTAATGAGCAAGGGGAAGCATAGATCCTCCACAGGGTTGCGGCCGTTCTGTCCTGTCACCATGTTGTTTTAAGAGAAGCCTCTCATGTGGAAGGGGGACTGGAGCGTGCAAAGCCTGTGTACACTCAGAGACGAGCCTGGGGTGTCGGCTTCAGGTGCCCTCACGTGTGTCCAGTGAGCTGTTGTGGTGGGGGGTCCCGGGGCACCTGACACATTGTCTGTGCATACAGGGTCTTCAACCAGCCCTCATGTGGCTTTTTTATCATTTTCTCGGGTGGAAAGGCAGGTGAGGTGTTCTCCTCCTGCCTAATCCGGCCTGGAGTCCTGCCAGCCCCGGGGAGGGTCTGGTGTGGAGTTTGCGGAGATCTGCAGGGGGTATAGTCGTGCGGGTGGCGCCTTATTGGCTCTGGCCTCGGGCATCCGCTGCACGTCACTTCACCACCGCCAGGGAGGAGACCGCAGCAGCCGAGGACGCAGAGCCTCGCCGCTGAGAGGTTTTACTTTACTCCTGTTGACGGAGCTCTCTTGAAAGACGTAGACATCTGTGCACACACAAAGGGAAAATAGCAGCCAAATAAATGGCCTGTGGCAGTGACAGTTTTGTCACAGCCGCCAGCTGGGCAGCAGGGACTGAGGCCATGGAGGTCACACCTGCTTTCAGAGACGTGAAGGTCCGGGAACTGGGGGCCTGTGCGTTTTAGACTCGGTTAAACAGCAGTGACCTTAAACACGTACATTTCCAAAGTTACTTTGAAATTGCGTCCGGTGGATTATGCCAAACTCGCCCCCCAGGAGCGCTTAAGTGTTTAAGAAGAACTTCCTGCACATCAGGGCTGTGCCTGAGGCTTGTGTGTTCGTGGGGCCCCATGTTGCCCACAACTGGTCACCCCAAGTGCACACGCCTGGGTAGGGGGGTGACATTTCAAATCCTGCCGTGTCACTTGAAACCCAAAAAGAGACGTGACCCCACACACCGTGTGGGGACTGGCATTCCAGGTCGTCAGGCTCTTGCAGGTGGAGTATGGACGTTATTGCTTGCTGCTGTCAGGAGGGGTTCTGGGCTTCAGCTTCCACGTTGGCGATGGTTTTAATTTTTCAATGTCTGTCACCTCAACTTGTTTAAGCTGATTCAGGAACTGTCACCAGCCTGCGCTAGGGAGACGTTCAGAGGAAGAAAGTTTCTGCCTGTCCAGACAGTTGAGCTGCGCCCTGAGTGAGCACATCAGCGGGAGGTCTTCATACCGGGGCCCACTCCGGCCCTCTCCCTGGACTCGGCCCCTTGTACTTCGTTTATGGGCTGCATTTGTCTCATTTGGCCCTAAGTATCCCGTAAGGTCGGCGTGGCCAGCATTCCTTTTCAAAGCTGAGAAAAGGAGCCTTTCCTGAGCATTTCCCACTCGGGCCACTGCCCCAGATGGAGCTCCCGGTGCCCCGGCGGGGAGTGGGCTGGAGCCCCGTCGTCGGGACCCCGTGGAGCCAGCGCCAGCCAGCAGGTGGCATTGGGGGGCCAGGCATAACTGAGGTGCTGGCGTGGACTTTAATTCTAAATCAGAAATTCTTAGATGAGTTACCGTGAGTGCGGCCACGTTGAGGAAGTTAGATGAGCTGTCTGCTCTGATGAGACTCTCACTTAAAGGCCATGGAGTGTCGGGCTGGAACTAGAAGAGTCTTAGGAAATCTCAAAGGAAACAATGACTCTTAGTGTTGAGGGCTTTTTGGTATGAAAAAGTTGTTTTTGTTTTTGTTTTTAAAGATTTATTTATTTATGCATACAAGAGCTGGGGTACAGGCGTGAGATGCGGGGGGGGGCGCGGTGAGAGGACTCACCAGAGACAGAGCGGGGAGCAGAACAGGCAGACGGACTGAAATCCACTGCTGAGGGGAGCAGCGGGCGAGACAGGAGAGGTCTGCCTCGCCACGTGGGTAGCTCCCTGGCCGGCCGGGGATGGAACTTGTGCTGCAGAGGCTGCGGATTGCTTCATAGTGCGGTGCTTAACCCCTTGCGCCACCAGGATGGCCCAGTTTTTGTTTTGTTTTTTTTAAAATACATCCTGCCAGCAGAGGTTATCTCAGATGTACAGAAATGATTGGGGGATTCTTCAAGCAGGCTTTCTGACTCAGCGGGCCGGAAACATCACTGTTTCCGAGCCCTTGGAAGAGGCATTGGAGCTGAGCTGTCAGGGAGCCTGTCAGTAAAATGGATGAGTGAGAAACGCCGGGTCCTCATCAATATAAGTTTTATTTAATTATTTAGCACACTGACATTGAGAAATAGCCTGAGCCACCGTCTCCCTGAACAATGTCTCATTCTCCGCGCATGCTGAGTAGCTGGAGCCTGGGCACCGCCGCGCCCTGCGCTCGTTACGGGCCGGGGTGCCAGGGACTCGGCCCCGCGCGGGGCTGGGTGGCGGGTGCTGCTCGCCTCCCCCGGGCGCTCGAGGTCTGCTGCCTAAGTGCCTGTAGCTCATGTAGACTCATTTAAGTCATTTGTTGGTGTTCATTCCATTCATTCGTTTGTTTGTTTTTTTTTCCTTCCTCTTTTGGGTTATCCGGGTGATAACATTTTAGCGACTCAGCGCAAAAAGAGTCCCTTTTTGAGAAGCAAAAGCAAGGACAAGGACAAGTCTCCGACAGCCCACCCAGCTCTCTCTAAACGCCTGCGGTTCTGGTCTTCCTCTGACATCCCATCCTCTCCTAACGAGCCTCTCCCTCTCTCAGAAATCGGAGATTTCTAATCCTTTTCCTCTGTCATGTCTTCATCGCGTACCCGTTCCCGCCACCGTTCCTGAAATTCAAACAAACCAAAAAAAAAAAAAAAAAGGCAAAACCAGTACCTAAAGGCCCGATGACCTTAGCGGACCCTCCTCCCGACCCCGTTGCAAAGCCGAGCTTAAAGTAGCCAGTGTGGACTCTGATTCCCAAAGAGAAGACGCGCGGCCTCGCCCTCCGGACGGGCCCTCCCGCGCAGCACCGTGGCAGGGGAGCCGGGGCCGGCGTGTCCGTGCTGAGTAAGTGCAGGGCCGGGGCCGCCCCGCGCCCGCCGCAGGCCCGCCCGGGAGCCCCTGCTCTGTTGCTCTGTGTCCTGCCCAGCGCGGCCTCTGCCGCCGGAGCGCTCTTGTGTTGACGCAGCTCAGTTTAAACCCGCTGCCTTTGTCTCTGTCCAGTGCCGAGTCGTTGGCTTTCGCTCGCGAGCCCCCCTCTTGACGCCTTCTCTGTTTGGAAGGATGTGTCGCTCCGTTCAAGCGTTTTCAATAATGGGATGGACGCTGCTGAGCCCGAGTCCAGGCCGGAGCGAAGCTACCGCTGTCGTGGTCTGACATCTCGGACACTGAAACTCAGCCAGCCGGGGACAGGAAGAATGTCCTGGCGGGCGCGCGGGTCCACGTGGCCTTTAGCTACTGCCGTTTCCACCCCCCTCGTCCTCGTCCCGCCCGACCACGCCCCGCCTCCCCGCTGTGTGCTTGGCCTGCCGTGGCGGTTGCCACTGAGCTCCATCAGAGAAGGGAAAATGATTATCGGTTCTGCCAGTGGAAAACCAGTGTCGCCCTAAAAATTAGTAATAGCCGCTAAGATGTGGCATCGGCGGGTGTGGCGCCGACCCCGGCCGAGCCTCGCCGCAGCCCCCCCCACCCCTGCATGCTGTGGGCGCCTGCTGTCCCCTGCCATCCTGTTAGTGTCGGTCCATCTGCTCCTCCTCACCTCACCTGCCGGAGTCTGTCCCCGGGCATCCCACCAGACTTGAATCTTGCTTCTCATCAAGGTTCTTTCCCAATCCAAATTTTCCCTTGATTTCAAGTTGTAAGATTTGGGCGCCTCCCAGGGCACTGTGCGTCCCGTCCAGGGTGCCGAATTTTGGCCACAGACCTGGCTCTGGGTCCTCAGGCGTCGGGACCGGGACTTTGTGCCCAGCGTGTCCCAATGCTCAGGCCCGCCCGCCACGGCGTTGTTAGGCTGTGCTTGAGGAAGGTTTGCTTTTTGTTTTTCATTCAATGTTGATGATGGCCACGTCCGTGGTAAACCATCCTGCGATTGCTGAAAAAGACAGGATGCCAGGCCAAGAGCCTCTCTCCCTGCAGAGATTGAGGCCCCTTAAATCATTGTGAGGACGCTGCTTCTCAAATCACAAGTGAGCCGGGTGGCAGGACGCACACCCTGGACATTCAGCCCCGGTGGCAGGTCCTGAGCAGGCCTCTGCCAGGAAACAGGACTTTGAGTGACAGGCATGGTACCTAGCAGGTATGTCTATCGTTACTGTGTTGGACTTTTTACCAACGTTTTGTTTTTTTGTTTTTTAAAGATTTATTTATTTATTCATACAAGCACTGGGTACAGTGAGGAGCGCAGGAGGGTGAGAGAATTCACCAGAGCCAGAGCAGGGAACAGAACAGGCAGACTGACGAAATACACTGCTGAGGGGAGCAGCGGGCGCGGCAGGAGAGGTCTGCACACCATGTGGGACTCTCGCCCGTGGCTGGGGATCGAACCGGCGCTGCAGAGGCTGCAGGCAGCTTCGCAGCCCAGCGCTCCACAACTGCTGTGCCACCAGGGGAGGCCCTACCAACATTTTGTTTTGCTTCTGGAGCTCCTTTTTCTCCCAGCCAGTATTAGAGCCAGGGCCAGCCCTTAGGGGCCTCCACCCAGGCTTGCAGCCCGGCCCCTCCTGTGTCCGCCCCAGCCGGAGGCGCGGCTGCCCAGCTTTACCCTGTGCTCCGTGTGCCCTGCTGCCCTGCCGCCAGGCCTCGGTGTGGTCTGTCAGCCTAACCCGGGATTTTGCAGCCCGATTTCTCCATGTCCTTCTCTGCCCCAGGCCCTGGGGACCTAAAGCCAAAGCAGGGGTCCCCGCACGGAGGCAGCCTCGACCGCACGGAGGCCTCAGCAGAGCCTGCTGCGAAGCCCTGGCCCCCCGACCTGGGCCCCCGGACCTGCGCCACCTCAGCCATCACTGTACCCCCTTCCAGCTCCACCCCCATCTCCCGGCACCCAGGCCGCGCCAGAGGTGAGTGGGGGGCCCTCCATCAAGAAGGACCAACATCTGGGGCCCAGGGTCTTTCCTAAAGACGCAGGCTCTCTGAGGAGGGGTCTCCTCTCGGCTAGAGGGCTGGTGGGCCGGGTGTTCGAGCTGTAGATGGGCTGTGGCATTGCACAGACCCGCTTCAGACATCGCTCTGCCTGCCTGCCTCTCCGGGCATGTCACCGGCCAGAGGTCTGACCTGACACCACTCGTGGGAAGCACCAGGGAGCTCCAGGGGACTGAGAACCAAAATCTGGGCCTAATATAGAGAACTGTCCCACCCCACCCCCTTGCAAGTCAGAAGCTTATTCTCCACAGAGAACAAGTGAGCGGGACTGTGAACTGGAGTGTCGGTAATGCGGGGAAGGAGAGGGTAGGCAGGCCAGGGCAGGGGTCCTGAACTGAAAACCAAGGGACTTATAGGGGTTTACAAACCCAAGGCCCCCAGGATGCAGGCACGAGTTGCAGTGTTCTTCCAGTTACCCGGTGAGCTCCAGAAATTCCAACTCAGCCCTCAGTGCAGTTCTGCCAGGGGAAGCCCGTGGAAGTTCAGGGGCCCTGGGGAGCCCTCAGCCACCAGAGACCAAAACCAAATCGCGAGGCAGTGGAGTAAACACACGTGGGGCGCAGAGGCGGAGTCTGAACACACTCAGGCTTGGCCCGCTGGAGTAGACCTCGCCATCCAGCAAGCCGCACACATTTTTGGGGTTCCCCAGCGCGTGTGAAAGTTCTGTTCACCCTGTGCCGCAGCCCAGTGTGTGCAGCAGCATTACGTCTCAAAAAGACAGCACAGGCGTCTTCCTTAAATGTCCCAGCCACGCAAAGTGAGCAGGTGCCCTGGGGACACGGCGCGGGGTGCTGCCCACGCGGGGCTGCACAGACCTTCCGTCTAAAAGCGCAGCCCCCGTGAGCTAAGGCGGAGACGTGCCTTGGTCAGCAAATGGGATGCTGCCACACCCAGGAAACACCCGAGATGGTCTCCCCTAAGAGGCAGTGAAATTTAACATCTGCAAATAGAAAGGAAAAGGCAAAGCTCACAGGGCAGAGACTTTCTGCTTCTAATATAGAGAGAGGGATGTAGTGGCTTCTGAGGTGTGAGACACTGGCGAGAACTGGAGAGGTGATTTTTTTCGTCATACCCCCCACTTCACTCTGGAGATGTGGGTGTCTGACCTTGGTGACCGGCAAAGGGAGGCCATCCCCTGCCCTCGGGGCTCCCGGGCCGGCTCAGTGACATGCATTGGCAGGACATGGCCCTGGGGATAGGATGTGCTGAGCAGACACCAGACACCCAGCCGTCCTGCTCCGCTCCTGGCCAGGCGTGGGAAGGGCCAGCTGCTTACGGTTGGACAGCAGGGGCTGCCCGGGTGCTGCCTCGAACGTGCAGTCTCTGAGCCAGTGTGGCCCGGGCGTCCATCATCAGCATCTCCCGAGGCTTGGGGTGCAGAAGCCCTCCCCGGGCTTGGTGGAGAGCTGGGAACTCCATTTCCCCTCATGCTCCTAGTGGTCAGTGTGCTCAGGGCCGGCCTCCAGGCCAAGCACAGACTGCCTCAGCTTGGACCCCGTGCCTGAGGCAGAACCGAAGCCCAGGACCTTCCCCAGCCACTCCTCCACCGGCAGAGCCTGCAGAAGGGCCAGCACTGCCCACTGCTTCGCCCCCATCCCAGTTCTGGGGCTCTGGTCCATTGCTCGTGGGTGTGGCCTTCCTTCAAGACAGGAAACCCTCTCACCCTCGTCACCAAGGTCTGTCGGGGGAACTGGCAGACTCGAGGCAGCGAACAGCTTCCTGTCCTCAGGGAAGGGCAGCCGGCTGGTGGCCCGTGGGCACAGCTCCGGTTCTCATCAGGAGCTGCTCATGCAGGGTTTGGTCTCCAGGGAGTCACCGGCTGCCCGCAGGTGGCGCGTCCTTTTCCTTCCTCCCACCTCCTGAAGACCATGTGGCCCCTGTCAGGAACTGCTTTCAGGGCCCCCTGCTTTGGGGGCGACTGGCCTTGCAGGTTGGAAGGGGCTCCCTGGTGGTAAACATCCTGCCCCTTTCGCTCTGTAATTGTCATCAGGCCCAAGCTCTGCTTTAGCCGCGTGTGGCCGTCACAGGCGAAGCGGGTTTAAAGGTCAGTGAGACGCAGTATGTGGGCTGGAGAAATAGGGGGGTGGGGAATAGAAGCAGCACATCCACATGCCCCCTCCCTCACCCTGGGTAGGAGGTGGCATCTAGCAAAGGAGCTGGTCTCCCTGTGGCTGTCGGTTGCCCCGGACTCATCAGCCTTCCTCGCCCCGCAGGCTACAATTCCGACGACAGCCTGTGCGGACAGTCGCTGGAGCTGGAGCTCGCCAACCACCGGCAGTTCGGTGAGTCGCCCGCGGCCTCCTCCTGGGGCCTGAGGCCTGCACCAGCAGTGCCTTTCCTTCTAGCTCGCCCTGTGCGGCCATCCAGCCGCAAAATAGCTGAAAGTGGAGTCGGTCGAAGTGAATCAGGGGACCCAGAGCTCCCTTGTCACCTTCCTGGAGATCTGAGCATGGGGTTTCCCTGCTCACGCGTCCAGTGATGCGAACCCACCTGGAAAGCGCCCAGAGGGTTTCCAGGCAATTCTGGTGACTCGCACAGGGAACGTTGTCTTCAGGAAGGCCCCTCTCTGTCCTCACTTGGACTTTAGGCATCCAGAAGGGCTCATTGTATTTAGTCTTAGAAGTTGTTGGAAGCACAAGCCAGTTAGCAGTTGTAAATTTCTGACAAAAACGGGGAATTAGGACAGCCTTCCCCCAAATAAAAAACTGCTTTGGGCTTCAATAATTTTTAAAAAACAAAAATCCTAGGGTCTCCCTGGTGGCACAAGCGGTTGAGCACAGCGCTGTGAAGCTGTCTGCAGCCTCTGCAGCGCTGGTTCCATCCCCGGCCGCAGGCGAGGGTCCCACAGGGCACGCAGACCTCTGCTGTCTCACCTGCTGCTCCCCTCAGCAGTGCATTTTGTCAGCCTGCCAGTTCTGCTCCCCGCTCTGTCTCTGGTGAATCCTCTCACCCTCCCACACATCTGGCCTGTACCCCGGTTCTTGTATAAATAAATAAATCTTAAAAAAAAAATCCTAGAAGAATGCGAAGGTCATTCTTTCCACAGATGCAAACTCGGTTTCCATGGCTTCAGCCTGATTCCGAAGTGGCAGTCGTCACTGTCCCCTGCCCCACCGTCTAGACACCTCTGGTGCTGCATTTGTACCCCCAGCAGTGCAGATGCAGTTGACACGGGGAGGCCCCTGCTGCGGTGGGAGTTTGAATCCGGGAGCCTCTGTCTTCACCTGAGCAGGACAACAGGACTGGAGCTTACGGGGGTTTCTTTGCCCACGTTCTAATGCCTGGAGTTGGGGTGGGGGGCGTGCATCTGGCCTGTCTCTGGCTCCTCAGAGCTTGAATAAACAAAAGTTTGAATAAACAAGTCAGTTGGACCTGCTTCCAGGTCCAACTGTTTTTGTTTTTTTTTTATTTCTTTTTTTTTTTTTTTTTTATTTTTTGTTTTGTTTTGTTTTTTTTTAAATATTAAATTTTATTTTTATATTCCCCCATACAATTGCAAACGCCCCATTCTGACCCCAATCCTTCCCCTCCCGCCCCCCACCCCCCAAAAAGTGTCTCTGGTTCATAGTTTTTTGTTGATTTTGATTTTCACTTTCTTATATTCATTTTCCTGGTCCCTTATTTAAGTTTTCTAGATTCCTGCTATGAGTGAGACCATCCGGTATTTTTCTTTTTCTTTTTGGCTTATTTCGCTGAGCATGATCCCTTCCAGTGCCATCCATGTTGCTGCAAATTGCATGTGTTTATCTTTTTTGAATGCTGAGTAATATTCCATGGTATATATGTACCACATCTTCTTGATCCAGTCATCTATTTTTGGGCATTTGGGTTGTTTCCAAAGCTTAGCTATTGTAAACAGTGCTGCTATAAACATAGGGGTGCAGGTGCTCTTTGGAATGGATGTTTCTGTGTCCTTTGGGTAAATACCTAGAAGTGGAATTGCTGGATCCTATGGAAGCTCTATGTTTAGTAGGTCCAGAAATCTCCACACAGCTCTCCATAGTGGTTGGACCAGTTTGCACTCCCACCAACAGTGCACAAGAGTTCCTTTTTCTCCACATCCTCGCCAACATTTGTTGTCAGGTCCAACTGTTTTGTATCACAATCCCCTTCCAGTGAAACATATGTCCCTTTTTTTTTTTTTTTAAGATTTATTTATTCATGCATACAAGAATCAGGGTACAGGCCAGAGGTGCGGGAGGGTGAGAGGATTCACCGGAGACAGTGCGGGGAACAGAACAGGCAGACGGACCTAAAGCACTGCTGAGGGGAGCAGTGGGCGAGATAGGCGAGGTCTGCCGCACCATGTGGGTATCTTGCTGGCCAGCCAGGATTGAACCAGCACTGCAGGGGTTGCTGACAGCCTCTGCAGCACTGCGCTCAACCCTCCGCGCCTCCAGGGGAGGCCCGAAATGTATGTCCTTTTTAACAAGAGATGTGTGTTCTTTTAATCTCAAATTTTCTTTCTCAGCAAAACGACTTACTTTGCTTTTATGCTATTTCACGAAAGCCAAGTGGTTTTCGTTGGTTTTTTTTTTTAAGGTTTATTTATTCATTTATGCAAGCACTGGGTACAGTCAGAAGCGCGGGAGGGTGAGAGAATTCACCAGAGCCAGAGCAGGATGCAGAGCAGGCAGAAGGACCGAAGCACACTGCTGAGGGGAGCAGCGGGCGGCAGGAGAGGTCTGCACGCCATGTGGGACCCTCGCCGGCGGCCGGGGATTGAACCGGCGCTGCAGAGGCTGAGGGCAGCTTCGCAGCTCAGCGCTCAACCGCTGCACCACCAGGGGAGGCCCACCAAGTGTTTTTTTAGCTCAGCCCCAGCCTCCTTTGCTGACCAGTGTCTTCTAAACAGTTGCTCTTTGTAGAACTCGCAGCATTGGGAAGTTGAGTGTCCTGTAGAGCTGTGCAAGGGCAAGCTCAGGGTGCGGGGTGTCAGTCCCCATTGTGACTCCTTTCATCTCCACACCAGCTGTTTGCTGGACGTGGGTGCAGAGGTGACACAAGCACAGGCCCTGTGCCCAGTGTTTCCTGGCCCAGCGGGACAATGGGGGCAGGCTGGCCAGGTAGGGAGACCGCGTGCTGCGGGGGGAGAGGACCCAGAGGGGTGGGCTTCTCCCTGTAAATGGAGAAGCCGGCGCAGCCACATTCAGGCAGGCACAGGGCAGCCAGGAGAGCTGGCTCCAGCTCATGTCACCAAAAAGGTTGACTTCCCCTGCAGGGGCGGGGGGCAGGTGTAAGCTTGAGAAGTGCAAGAACGGGAGGGACAGCAGACGCCCCCGCTCCTGCACACGAGCAAAGTGAAGCCACCACCCCCCCCCCACCCCATGTTGCAGCCCTTCTCCGGGCGCCTCCTTCCTGGCCCCTCCAGGGAGCCTGTCATGGCCCAGGCCGGGGTCTTCCTTGTGTGTTCAGGAGGCTTAGCAGCTGTCAGGGGGAGCAGCACCCCATTCATGTGATTTCTGGACTGGCGTGAGAGCCCTCTGCCAACAAGGTTGTTTGGATCCACGGCCCTCGACAGAATAAAAGCAGGTAGCGAGTGTTGCTGTCTAGGATGTGTGCGCGCTCGGCACTCGGCTGGTGAAGCCAGGCCCTCGGGGAGCCTAGAGAGAACCCCCCAGTCCGTCCTTTGCCACACGGGCTCCTTGGAGTAGGCGCTTTGGTCCCGCCACCCCTGGTCATGGGCCTGCAGGGTAAAGGCCGCCGTTGGCCGCACCGCCCTGGCTGGGCGGCTCAGAGAGCAGCAGAAACGCGGCCAGCGGCAGCTCCCCACTTCCCCTGACAGGTAAGGCGGCCTCTTCCCTCTAAGCCGCAGGGTGCATTGCATCTTTAATTCCAGGCTCAACTTGTTATTTAGTACAGTGACAAGACCCCCAAATGCAGGCAGCCCGGCTGCTCACGCCCGGGAGGGTGAGTGGATTTTGGTTCACCTTCCACCAGGCCTGCATCCAGGCCACGTCGCTCTCGAGTGGGGTTGCAGCCGTCCTCCTGCTTCCCCTTGGTCAGGACATAGCGGGTGGGGTTTTTTTGTTTGTCTGTTTTTTTAAAGATTTATTTATTTATGCGTACAAGAACTGGGGTGCAGGCCAGAGGTGTGGGGGTGAGAGGATCCACCAGAGACAGAGTGGGGAACAGACCAGGCAGACTGACTGAAATACACTGCTGAGGGGAGCAGTGGGGAGACAGGAGAGGTCTGCTGCTCCATGGGGGTAGCTCCGTGGCTGGGGATCCAACTCGTGCTGCAGAGGCTGCGGGCAGCTTCATAGGTTGCGTCTTACTTAACCCCTTGTGCCACCAGGGAAGCCCCATAGTGAATGGTTTTGACTCTTTTCCTTGTGGTGTTTTAGGGTGAAGGGTTCCCTGTGTTTGAGAAGCCGGTGGGTGCTCTCTCCAGGACCCTAAACTCTGAGGTGTTTTCAGAGATGTTCTTAGCCCTCCCTTTGAACACCTGGACGCAGCGGGTGCTAAATAAACCTTTAATATCCAAAAGGGTGGGCATCGTGAGCCTGGTGTCCTACAGCTCCAGCTTTTCACTTTTGCAGCCGAGCTTTTCCCTTTTATCTCAGGTTATTTTGTTTGTAAATGCCAGAGTGAAATTTTAAAGGGTTCTAAAATGTTCTTAATACCCAAGACCCCAGCCCAGAGAACCCGGCCCTGGGTTCCCAGATGGGTGCTCTCCAGTGGAGGGGAGCAGAGGCAGCCCGGAGCTGCCGGCCGCGGCAGGGAGACTAATGCGTGTTCCTCTCCGTCACCCACCCTGGCCCCAGGTTCGGCTGACCAGCTCCACGGCAGGTCTGAGAGCTTCAGCAGCGAGGACCTGATCCCCAGCAGGGACACAGCCACTCTGCCCCGGGATGCCAACACCCCAGGACGCAACACCTTCAGCCGCCATGAGTACCCCCCGCCCCGGAATGGGCCTCTCCCCCAGGAGGGCGTCCAGAAGAGGAGCGTGGCCCAGCCCCAGGCCGGCATGCGGCCCTGCTCAGCTTCCCCCAGCAGTGAGATGGTCACCCTGGAGGAGTTTCTGGAGGAGAGCAGCCGGGGCTCCCCCATCCCCGTGAGTGACCTGGTCATCAGGACTGTAGGTGGGACCCTGGCAGCAAAGTCCCAGCGGGAGGGCGATCCTCCTGGGCAGCCAGCCCCCTACCCCCACCCCCGCCAAGACTTCCCTCCACCTGTAAGTGAGGGGCAGACCCTTGTTCCACCGGGGTGAGGGTGCCGCGTGGCCAGCACACTGGCAGGGCAGGGTCGCACGCTGGGCTTCAGAGCAGAATCCCGAACCCACTGAAGCGCGCGCTCGCCAGCAGAGGTTTTTTTCCGTGAAGGGGCTGATGGCGGCCGTCTCTGGCATTCCCGACCACAGTCCCGTCCAGCTGCTTTGCCGTTTCATCGGGACCGCAAGGACCGTCTGCCAGCAGCTGGGCACGACTGTTCCAGAAAAGCTTTCGTGGCGGACACTGATGTTTAAATTTCATATAATTTCCACGTGCTACAAAAATTATTCTTGGAAAAAATTTTTTTTTAAATCATTCGAACATGTAAAGCAATTCTCTGCTCGCAGGCCATACAGAAACATGTGGCTCCGCCGGGATGGGCCCCGGCTTTCATCTGCTGACGTCTGCCCCGCCACACGGCCCCCAGACCCGGCCCGAGTGAGGACGCCCTACAGCGTCTCGGTTTAGCTTTGCCGAACCGCGTGAGGGTGTGTTCACACCTGTCCACATTCAGCCATTGTTTGGTTGTGGAACGGGTCTGTCTTGCAGTTGACACCTTTTAAGGACTCTTCACCCTTCGGTGATTGATTCTCATTCCCTTCGAGAACAGTTGAACTTTCTCCGGCCACGTAGTGAAGTCTGTGACCCGCATGAATAGGCCACGGCGACAGAGAACACAGAGTATTTGCTCACACAAAGTAGGTGTTCGCTGAGCACCTACTATGTGTCAGGCAGTGGGTGTGGTGCCTGCTCTCAGTCCAGCTCATCAGCAGGTTTCTCTCCCATCCTGCCATGTGGCTTATGGGGGCAGTCTGCACCCCTGGTCCCTGTGCAGCCACACCCTTCTGCAGGGCAGCCTCTTCCCACTGTCTCTTCCCTGTCTTGGATCAGAGAAGACTGTGGGCAGCTGTGAGGGGCCTGAATGTGGCCGGTTCTGGTTTTTCTTCCTCTCTGTGGCCCAAGACAAAGCCCTTGTGAAGTGTCAGGGCGTGGTGGAGGGACAAGGGAGAGAAGGTCCGGGCCTTCCAGTTCCCTGTTGCCTCCTGCTCTGCTTAGTGGGGACCCCCCAGCCTCACTCCCGAGGCTCACTACTTCTCTCCTCTCTGTAGGACACTCCCAGTTGCCGGGATGACCTGCTAAGTGACTACTTCAGAAAGGCTAACGAGGCCCTCACCACTGGGGGCCAGCCAGGACCGCCTTCCAGGAAAGAAGGGGCCAAGATGCCCACCAGCTTGGTCGCCCCCACCATCAAGATGGCTGTCAACACCTCTGAAGGAAAGCTGCTGAAGCCTGGGCAGTACGTGAAGCCAAATTTCAGGCACGCTGAGACTGAGGCCCTACCCAGTGCCCCTGCCAGGCAGACCCAGCCTCCCCAGAGCCTGTCTCTGGGCAGACCCCGGCAGGCCACCAGCCGGAACACGTCCCTGAGCCGGGCCTTCAGCCTGGCCTCGGCGGACCTTCTCCGGGCCAGCGGGCCAGAGACCTGCCAGCAGGAGTCCCCTTTGAAGCTAGGGGGTCCTGAGGTCTTGGGCAGCCGAGAACCTGGCAGCCACACTCTGCAAAGCCCCACACCGCCCAGCTTGGCCCGGGAGCGGACCCCACTTGTGGGAAAGGCTGGAGGCTCCTGTCAGGGCCCAGGCCCTCGCATCCGGCCGCTGGACATGAGGCGCTTCTCACTGGCTCCCCCCAAGGAGGAGAGGCTGGCCCCCCTGCAACAGTCCGCCACGGCCCCAGCCATTGCCACGGGAGGGAGTGGGGGCGGCAACCCCCAGCTCCAACCCTTTTCACCTGGCGTGGCCCCGGCTGCCAGAACTAAGCCCCAAACTCCCACGCACGTGGGCGAGGTGGCTACTGTCGCCCCCATCCGGGTGGGGCTCAGCCTGTCAGAGAGGGATGGGGCCCTGGGGCCGGGCCACACGGAGGGGCTCGCTGCCAAGAGCTTGGGGAGGTCCCCCGACATGGCGCCCCATGCGGGCCGGGCCCCTGAGGACTTCAGCCGGGGGAGCACACCAGCCTCCCCGGAGCCGGGCGCGGACCCACAGACCGTGTGGTACGAGTACGGCTGTGTGTGAGCAAGCGGCCCGGGCTGGGACTACGGACGCCTCTGACCACGCTGCCCGCCCGCCCTGCCCGCTTGTGGTGCCGGGAGAGGGGCTTGGGATGAGGAAAGGAGGGGTCCCCGCAGTCCTGCGGGTTTGTTCATGAAACACTGTGCCAAGCCCTCAGAGGATCACTCTCAGGAGTGTGCCATGTCTTCCTTGCCTGTAAGTAGCCTCCAGCAACTGTTCTCTTCAGAAACCCCACTTTCCAGCACATCTGGGGCCTCTGCGACCCCAAAGCAGACACTATCCGAGCGCGCCTGGTAGAACACTCGTGGGCAGCCTGCTGGCGTCCGGGCGTGTGCGTGCGTGTGCACGTGCGGCCCCCGCGCTCTCAGACTCTACTCCTCCCAAAAGCCAGGGAGCAGCCCAGACTGGCCAGCCCGCAAAGGTCTTGAGGGCCATGGTGGGCCCCAGAGTCAGACTGGCTGGCCGTTAAAACCCAGGAGTGTCGCCCCGACATTCCTGGCATCCCAAGCACTTCCCTGTACCCCCAGGGCCAAGGTTGCCTTCCGGCAGGTGGCCGTCGGCCGCGGCATTGGCCTCCCTCCAGCAGCTGGACTCTGGACGCTGTGGTGGGTTCTGGGGCCGCACGGCCGCCTGCCTTACCCTGGCCCGCTTGTCTACAAACACTGGATCTTCCGGGCCTGGGGGGGATGGTGGGAGGGGACAGGGAGGAGCCCCTGCCCCCCCCCCCCTCCTGGCTAGTGCACAGCCGGGACGTGTGTGCAAGAGTGAGGTGCAAACTCCATTTGTCACGTGGCTGCCGCTCCCGCCGCCCCGGCCTCAGGTGCGATGTCAGTTTGTTCACCGGTAGGAACCAACCCTCTCGGCACGCGCGCGCGGAATCGCGGTCCCCGCGGGGTCTGGTTGTGCTGCCCCGGGAGCCGGTCTCCGCTCCCCGGCATCGTGCTGCTGCTTGTTCTCGTCAGGCTCCTGACGCCCCGCGTCTCCTCAGTAAAGGTGCTCTTTCCGACCTGCCTGGACCTGGTGGTCTTGCTCGTGAGGTGTCTCTTCTTTCCTTTTCATCGAAAGTCGTGAGACAGCCTTGGGAGACCCCGCGTGTCGGCAAGGCCCGCTTGGGGGGGCTCTGGGTTGGGGAGTCCACGGCCATTGGTTCTGGAGCACGAGGTCGGGACTGCGGTGAAGTGGGGGGCTCGGAAGCGAGTCCCAGTCCTCACCGCGGTGACTGGGGGTGCGGGGGGGGTGCTCGGGGCTCCTGCTTCAGGGCCCGGAGGCCCCCTGGGTGGTGGAACCGGGGCCACCAGGTTCGTCTGGAGAACGAGGCCTCCCTGTTTTCCACAGTTGTTGTCCCCCAGATTTGCTCTTCCTGCCAAGCTGCCGCAGCCTGCGTCCCGCTGTGCGGGGGCTTCACGGGACCAGGGCTCGGCTCCGGGTGTTCCTCTGGCCTTCGGCCGGGCTCCTCCGGGAGCAGGGGCTGGATGCGGCGCCACGCCTGGAGCAGAGGCCGGCGGCAGGCGCGTCCATGCTCGAGCGGTTTTCCAGCGCCCGCCTCCGGGCCCCCACTTACCACGCTCTCCCCCCGGGTCTCTCCTCGCCCCCTCGGCTGCGGTCTTCCCAAGCCATCGTGCCCCCGACCGCCCGCAGTGCCGGCAGCAGACTTGACCCTGGCTCGTCGCTCCTTGAGACGGAGCCTCTGCCCAGGGACGCGCCGCGCAGGGCCAGGCCCCGGGGCCCACGCCGTCCAGCCCTCGCGCGAGCCTCCACGGACGCGCTGGAAGACGTCCTGGGTGCCGAGCCCAGCTTCCTCCTCTGAGAGGTCCCTCCCTCCATACACCCCGCCGAGGGTCGCCTCGGTCTCGGCCGCTCCTGACTCTTCTGCCCGCGTGACCCTTGCGGGATGCAGCCCTGAGCGCCTCACCCGGGGCTCCCGAGCTCATCCAACAGCAGCAGCTGCCCTGTGAGGCTGGCAGCTCCTCTCCCCCCACAACCCGAATTTCACGGAACTAGGAGGTTCTCCCGACCTGAGGAGTCTTGAAATCTGCCTGCCCCGCCCCGCCCCCGCGCGGGATCCCTCGCGCTCCCCGTTTTCAGACCTGGTGCCTCAGTGCCCAGAGTTCTTGCTGGTCAAGCTACAGTCAGGGGGCCTCTCGCCAAGGCAAAGGTCCTGGTAGGAGGAACACACTGGGGAGCCAATCTCTGCTGAAAAGAGCAGGCAGAAATAATACGCTTTGACTAGTGGGAACAATGGCGCCCCCCAGGCAATAGCCCCTGGTCACTCCACCCCAGCTTGCATGCCCTGTAAGCTCCCCCACTCCCTACACACTTGCCCCATCTTTGTGCTTGATTCTAATACGAGGTGCCTTTGGACTGGGGGTGCACATGACTGCCCTGTGTAGCCCCTCTAGGCCTCTCTGCTGCACGCGGGCTTTGATCTTTCCCTCACCCCGCGCTGCCCCCAACACGCCCCTCAGCGAGGCGACGGGCACGCATGGGCACGCGCACACCAGACTGGGTGGTAGCCAGGCCGCCAGTCTCAGCCCGGGTGACCTCCCTGGCCACACCAGCCTGTCCCCAGAGACTCCGTGCTCTGTGGCTCTCGAGGCAGGCCCAGCCCTCCTGTCCCTCCTCACTCCAGACAAGCTCCTACATGCCCACAACTGTAATGACCATCCTTTCCCGGGAGGCTCCAAACATCTCCAGCCGGGACCTCCAGGTCTGTTTGCTGCATGGACGGGTCACGCGGCTTGAACTCAAAATGCTCAGCACACAGCTCACCCTGCCCCCCAGCGCCCAGCAAAGCCCCCGTGTCCTGTTGGGTCAGACACTCCATCCTCTCCCCGTGTGCTATCCATTACTGCAGCAGCTGGTTCCCCCCAGCCTCATCCACAGCCGGCCCACGCAAGGGGAACCCTGGGCAGGTGCTTCCTCCCCTGGGGCCTGTAGCTGATGGGTCATCCCAAGTCATGCCCCTGCTGAGCTCCCTTTCTGCCCTGGTCTGGGAGGTGTGTGACCTGGTGTCTGGATGCCTGGGAGAATCCCCAAGTGGCCACTGGACAGTCGCACCTACAGCTTGGGGGTCAGGTCTGCGTCGAGAGACGGGATCATCTGAGGTGAGATGGGCTGACCCCGGGGAGAAGGTTCAAAGCCAGGACATCAGGAAGCACAGGACTAACCTGGGGCGCAGCCAGCCAGATGCTAGCAGCCAGCCTCAGGCGGGGGCAGTGCCTGACCACATGCAGGTGCTTGCTACGTAGCGGTGCTGACAGTGCCACAGAATTCACAAATAATAAAACAGCACTTTTTACTGTAAAATCCATACAGCCAAAGGGTTCTCTTAGAAAACTTGCCAAGCCTGTGTGTTTCATAGCCAACCTGTGCGCGCCACTGACGCATGTAGTTCTGGCATGACTGCTGGCTGACAGCCTTTCTGCGTTTACAAGGAAAGTGCAAACAAGCCAAAGATTGTCAGAGCTGACTCATTGGCCACCTGCTCCGTCAGGTAGCAGTTTTTTGAGTGTGGATGAATTTCCTCCACTTCTCATGCCTGTCCAGTCGTCACGGCCACAGACAGGGCACGCTTTAAAAAGAGGTAGCATATGCCTGCAGCCTCTGCAATGCCGGTTCGATCCCCAGCCACAGGGCGAGGGTCCCACATGGCGCGCAGACCTCTCCTGCCGCCCGCTGCTCCCCTCAGCAGTGTCCTTCGGTCCTTCTGCCTGCTCTGCTCCCCACTCTGGCTCTGGTGAATCCTCTCACCCTCCCGCGCTTCTGACTGTACCCAGTGCTCGTATAAATAAATAAATCTTTAAAAAAAAAATTTAAAAAGAGGCAGCATAATATTCACGCAAGCCCCACTTTGAAGCTTAATCTACACTTATTAACATATCTCCCTCACATTAAGTTTAGAGACTCCAGACACTGAAGAAAACATACAGCAAGCCGACTGGTAACATTTGTCAATTTTTTTTTTAAAGATTTATTTATGCATATAAGAGCTAGGGTACAGGCCAGAGGTGTGGGAGGTAAGAGGATTCACCAAAGACAGAGTGAGGAATAGAACAGGCAGACTGACTGAAATACACTGCTGAGGGGCACAGTGGGCGAGACAGGAGAGGTCTGCTGCGCCATGTGGGTAGCTCCCTGGCTGCCTGGGGATCAAACTCAGTGCTGCAGAGGCTGCAGATTGCTTCACAGTGCGGTGCTTAACCCCTTGCACCACCAGGGAGGCCCTAGATGGAGATTTTTATAAAACAGCACTAAATTCCCCAGAGTGATAACTCGAGGTTTTTAAAAGTAGATCTATTTACAGTGCTCAACGATGCTGACAGGACGATATTTTTCATTTAACCAAGTCTGAGGGTAAAAGAGAACCAAGATTGTAAATTACCTAAACAGTCTTTACTTATCATCTGGAAGTAGTAAAAGCAGTTTAAGAATACTTGAGTCTTGACGGCAGATGAAAAAGAAATTAAAGTGTGGTTTTACAGAAATACACCACGGATAATAAACTGCAGTATATTTAAAGCAAGTCATTCTAGCACATAGCATTTTTCTAAGATACCCCTCTCAGACCTTCAGCACTTTTTTTGTTGCCTTCCTATTTTGCACCTTTTTTTTTTTTTTAAAGACAGCCATTTTGTTTTCACGCTAAATTTTTCAGGACCTTTAGCATATCTGTTTTAAATACAATTCTTAACACACCTCACTTTATTTGCACTTAGAGTTAGGACATTGTACCTTTTGATTTTTAGATTATAAGACGGTTATGGCAGAATTTTGTCTTTGTTCATGCCCGCAGGCCTAGAAGAGATCTCTTTTCCAAAGTCTGAGCCCTGAGCCATGGGGTGACAGGGCATCCATCGCCCCAGCAGGGCCACATTCGCACCTTAAAGCAAGCAGGGGGTAGAGAAGCAGGAGACTTCCAAGAGCTCACCTGGTCATCTGGGGTGCACAAGTCAGGCTCCTGGCCAGAGAAAGTCCATCAGTCACACCCTGGAACTTGTAGTCCACCCCCAGACCTTGTCCCAACATAACTCCAGCTAATGAACAGGTCACAGTGGGCTGGGGCAGGGGGCACAGTGGGTCTGTTGCAGGCTCTGGGACTCCCAGCCTTTCACCGACAGCATCCACCGGAGCCAGACCCTAAAATATCTGCAAGTCAAGAAAACAACAAACGAGGTTGCTTGAATTTCTGGGAAAGATTATTTTTTTTAATCATTCTTAAAAATCCCCCTACCTGAAGCTGACATAAAAGCATGCCTAGGGGCCACCCTGGTAGTACAAGGGTTGAGCACAGCACTATGAAGCCATCCGCAGCCTCTGCAGCATGAGTTCGAGTTAGATCCCCAAAAGGAAAGGAAAGAAAGAAAAGATAAATCTTTAAAAAAAAGAGAGAGAAAAGAACACGCTGTGGGGTAAGTAGGTGGGAAAAGCTTCAGGCTCAGCCCCCCTCCCACTGCGCATACGCACTCGGCCAAACGGCATGGCGCGTGTGGCATGGCATGGGTGGTGCATGTGGCATGGCTGTGTGGGGGGCGTGGTGCAGTGCAGTGTGGTGCGGTGCTCAGGACTGGGGGCGGGCAGTGGCGTGGACGGAGTGGGCAGTGTGGCGGGGAGTGGCAGAGCATGGTGGCGTGGCCACAGAGCAGCGTTGAGTGTGAAGACGCCAGCAGGGCTGCCTCGACGGCAATGAACCTCCCAGTGTGAGACGGTTGCACAACACACACCCCTGCCAAGCTGCCGTTACAAACAGGGCTCAAACTGAGTTTCCTACCTTGGAATATGATGGAGGACAAGCGTGAAAAGCTGGAAGGGGGTGCCCCAAGACCACAACCTGACTCAAACAAGGAGGTTGGGTGGAGGGGGTAACGTGACCGCTAGCCCAGCTGTGGACATCGAGGCCTCAGGCGCAGCGCCTGGTCGCAAGGCAGAAGGCCCACGCGGGATCAGATGCTCTGGGGAGGGGCGCACAGGCCTGAGGGGAGAGACAGGGAGACTGGGCCTCCTTGGAACCTGTGGGCCCTTGCTAGTTTTGCCAAGTTTTCCCACACCAGCAGCAAACAGGCCACTCTGCAAGGAGTGACGCCTCCCAAAGAGAAAAGGACTGTCCCCGAGCAGTCTGTCCTGTGAGGGG